AAAAAAATGTATAAAAATCCGAATAAAAGAGAATATAATCTTTTTAAACAAAGAGTTGTAGAGTATGAAATCCCCCAAAGTAGCGAAACCTGTGGGGGGGGAATTTCAGTATACTCTCAAGAGCAAACAAGTCCAAACTGTCTCGAGAGTGCACAAAGATGCAGGATAGATGGACGAATCAAAGAAGTAAAAAAAGAAAAGAAAGAAAAGGAGTTGGCAAAGCGACCGGGATGAACTGATATAGGTGAGTGTATCCCAGATCTACACCGGATTCGGGTGGACGCAACCAGCACATTCCTATGCTGCTACCCGCGAGCAGACTCTCCTCGACTACTTGATATCTCGAAATTGTAACATCTTTTCCATTTCCGATTCGAATTTGCATCTGCATTTGAAGTTCTGGAAAAAAAGGGGGAGTCTTCGCCTCACTTTGAACCTTGAAATCAGCACTGGCCACGTGAGTGGGAGTCTCCTTTTCTCGGGGAACCACTGGGTGCAGTCGAGTTGTGCATTACCAGGTACATAGTACCGTACATAGTACTCTCCAGCTTGGGCAGAGTGTTCACAGATTATCGAGGAGAGATGAAGCAGGGCCCCTCTCGTCGAGATCGGAATGTGTTTTTGGTTCAGAGTGTCTTGATGCCTTGTGGCCTTGATGCCTGATAAACATGGCCCCACATCCCTTGAGGCAACTCTACCTCACTATGTTGTAGGTATACTTCGCCCGCTTCACCACTTAACTCCAAATTGATATTAGCCTTCAACTGTTCAGCTCGGATCTGAATAAAATTACCGTGATTCAGGAGGCATTCACTGCTTATAGACGGATATGAGGTCCGGCTGAGCTCCCAAATCCACTGGTCATGTCTTTGGCCCCAATAACCCCGCTGGTCTTATTGACACCCAAATATGGCTCAACAACCACCTGTTCAATAGATCAATGACCACCACCTTATCTGAAAGGATAAGGATAAAAGGTAAACATGATTTCCAGGTGGAATCTCGTCTGTATGAGCATCCTGGGTCTTCACTACGCAGTATCATCTCGATTATTTGCCAGAAAGAAAGCATTATCATAGTGCAAAGCACGGCGAGCTCCAATCATGAATATCTCTGCATTGCTATACTTCTTTCATGTCCTATGGGCAACTCCTGGTTTTGTATTTTCGCGAGGAATTGGTTCATACAATACTGAACGATTTGAAGTACATAACTTGCCCGGCGTTTCGGACCTACCACCCAGCTGGGCTGGCCGCCTTCCGGTTCCGGGAACAGAGGATGGGAATGAGATCTTCTTCTGGCTATTCCAGTCAGAACAACCGGCATATGATGACAATTTGATCAGTAAGTCTGATTGAGAAGGGACATGCGGCGGTAGTTGCTAATTGCTAACATGCTCTATAGTTTGGTTCAATGGAGGCCCTGGCTGCTCATCCTTGATAGGTCTAACGACCGGCAATGGACCCATTTCATTCGATGGCAATTCAACTCAATTCATTCGCAATCCGCACTCGTGGACAAAGCTAGGAAATGTGCTTTACGTTGATCAACCCGTCGGCACTGGCTACTCCACGGCTAGCTTCCCCTACCTGGTTAAGGACAATGGCCGGGTAACGACGGACTTTACACAGTGGCTGCGTGGCTTCTTCGAATACTTCCCCCATTTACAGTCAAAGCAGATCCATCTGATGGGGGAGTCATATGCAGGCATCTACATACCATATTTTGCATCGGAGCTTCTGGGCGGCAAAGATTCTCTGCCACTCAACGTCCGTTCAATGTCTCTCGGAGATGGATCTTGGGGAAATGGAGCAGCCATGGCATCCGTTGCAATGGGAAAATACCTCAGATCACAACTGGGTCTCCTCCAAATTCCCGAAGACATCCTATCAGTCTTCGACGAAGCAGACGAAACCTGCGGCTTCAACGAAGTATTGGCAAAATCCGCCATATACCCTCCCCAAGCTAAAATCCATATCCCCGGAAACCCAGAGTACTTCAACATCCGACGTCGAGGCCTGACAAATGCCGTCAATGCCGCATGCGACATCGCACCCACGACCCCGGAAGAAGTCCGCAGTTCACTCTTCAACTCAACCTGCTACGGCCCCTGTGCCGCCTTCTCCACAGCAAGTGACTACTTAACAGCCATCTCCACGAAAAGCACAACTGGCGGCTGTTTCAATATCTACGACATCTCCCACGACTGCAGCGCTGTTTCAGAGCTCCCATTGATGGCAGAGTACTTCGGGCGCGCAGATGTCCAGACTGCCCTCCACGTCGATAACAGTGGACCATACAGCGCCTGCAACTCCACAATCCTAGGAACACTCCTTTCAGCGCCCTCCCCCGTGCCTCCGGAGTACTTTATCCTCCCGTCTCTGGTTACCAACCACAACATCTCGCTCCATATTTACTCGGGTGAGTGGGATATGTTGATCAACCACTTTGGCGCGGAACTGTCGCTGCAGAATATGACCTGGCGCGGTGCACAGGGCTTTGCACAGAAGCCGAAGAAGCCGTTCTTCGTTGATAATGCTGCACCGTCAGCGACTAAACAGCTCTTGTTCGAACATACACCGGTGGCTACTACGCTCTCGACTGCCGCTCCCACTGCTACTGCTGCAGGTACGTGGACTGAGGAGCGTGGTGTATCATATCATTTCTTCCGAGGGGCTGGGCACAGTGTCTTTGTGAATAAGCCACGCGAGATGTTTTCCTTTGTGCGGGATGTGGTTGTTGCTCTGAGAGCAGGTTAAGTATGGGGACCTCGAGGTTGGAGCTGGCGCATCTTGAGTTTTGGTTATCGAAACTGGTACTTAGAACACGTAATTTCTTTAGAATTCTTTTCTGCTTTCAAAATCCAGGTTCAAGTCAGTAACTGGTTTAGAAAGGTCATGTAGGAATTGTAGCAATAACAGTAATGGAAGGCTATCGGACGATGTCGACAAAAATGTTGCATCATATAAGAAATCACCAAAAGCAATGTGATCTCTGGGTTCAAATGAGATTGTTTTCGTCATTTGCCATGTTTATCGCATAGTATCAAAAAATTAAACGAATCACTTACTGTAATGATCCTTGTTTTGCGATATATATATCTCACCATATTTGGCTCATTATACCAACTATTTCAGGTGAAGTATTTGATTTGATATCCCATATACACGGAGTATCTTCATCTACTTTATACTCATTTCAAAAAAAGGCAGCAGTAATATCATATTCAATATCTAAATCAAGTTGTCCCCATAGTACGCTGTATCCCAGACACAAAGGCCACAATGTTATCAGATCTCCACCATAGTGCAGCAAGCACATCAATAATAATCGTATGATCAAACTTGTATGTATTAAGAGCAATATTGAGTCAAGTCTATCTGGGGTTGGTCAATAGGTGTCGATCGGGGATCATCATGAACCAGCATGAGTCACGATGTGTCACGATGAGGGAGAGTTGCACATTAATCAGCTTCCTAGCATTGACTATATATATACCCGTGGACATCCGCTATTATTATGCAAAGGCTTTGAACTGTTTGCAGGCATCGATGCACCCTGGGCCTAGTAGGTTCAAGTAACGCCCACAAAAGGTATTTTGTATTGAATTTAATTGATCATAATGTAGGTGAGCTGAAGAATGCGATGTGAAACTATCCTTTGACACAATCCCAAACCCGGCAGACAGGAACATCTCCACATCGATTTTGCCGTCTTCTCTTTTGAGTCCCTCCCACTTGCGCATCGGATTCTGGACTGCCTCCCCAATGCCCAAGTGTCTTTGCCCTAATTAATGAAGCCACAATGTACCATGACCGGGGCTGGTAGTTCAATATCGTCCGAGGAAGCGTTTTCGAACGTGATCCGGGCTGGAAAGGTGTGCTCTAAGTAAGTTGCATTGCAAGGCGGAAAGTATGAATGGTGTACTGTGATTAGGCTGGTTCTAGAAGTAAATATTTATTAGCGAAAGATAATAATACCTAGGTAGATTCTTATTTATCACTTATTGTTGCCCCAAGGGCAGTTGTAAAATCTCCGAAGTATTGATGAACATCCGCAGCGCAAGGCCGCATTCAGTGAGAGAGTTACTGGCAACTACACTCTGGATTTAGTCTCTATAGAAAAGTAACTGGAAGAAACTACACCAGGTCATTATAAAAGAACATCTAAAGAATATCTCAAAGACATGACAGGGGCCGGCTATTCCAATAAGTACTGGCTGGATATTTGAATGAACTCCATTCATCTAATATTACTAGTTATATGACTAAAGATTGAAACCGTCAAAGACCATCACTAACACGTCCAATTCCTCATGAATGCGCCGTCAAAGAGTATGGCTTCGAGCCCAGCGAGACTGGAGAAAGTGGGTGCGCATTCCACCATTTCATGGCAGGGAGAGAGGAGGGGGGAAAAGAGAATTAACGATTTGTTCGCACAAAGCTGTTAGTATTAGTAAATAGTAGACCAGTGAGGCTGTGCAGGGAATTTAGCTGAGGTTGGAACTCGAGCAGGCGAGGGGAATGATTGAACCTGAAGTGCTCTTGCTCTTCTTTGTTCTTGTTCACTGTATATATTGTATACATTATATACTCACATCATACAACTATCGAGTAGAACACGATTCAAATGTTCCTTTTAGATCCATGGTCTATATATATTCTCATAAACCTTTAGGGCTTCCCTGCGGCTGAGAGCCACCCCGGCAATGAGGAAGATCTTGAAGTCCAGGCGCTGACCGGAGTGCCATATGCATGTAGGAGTGCTATTATATGTCCAAATGAAATCAATATCTTAAGAGATATATATCTAGATATATACCTGGGTATGAATTGTTTTCCTACGTCATGATCGACTTCCCCGCAGAATATGGGGTAAACCAGGTGATCTCCCCATTGTATGACTACAAAGTAATCAGCCCATCCCTGACTTACCTTTTCTTTTCTACTTTCCCCCTTTTCTTCCTCTTTACATCTCACATCTCACATCTCACACCCACCATGACAAAAGGATTCGCAACCATCACTCCCGAATGCGAGGAAGTATTCGACGAGGTCAAAGGCACCGACAACCTCAATTACGTCATCTACGAAGCCTCCGCACACGACAAGAAGATCACTGTCGCCGAGTCCGGCAAATACAAGGATTACGCCGAGTTCCTCTCCCACTTCAAGGATGATACTCCCCGATACGCGGTTGTAGACTTCACCTACGACTCTCCTGCCGGCGATGGCCAGCGAAGCAAGCTAGTCTTTATCACATGGTATGTAGAGACACATTATATCACTCTCGCCTTTAGAGAGAAGGTGATATTACAATCATTGAAAGATACATGATGCTGACTGCTGAAATTGTGCGTCTAGGGTGCCCGAGGCTGCCGGCATTCATGACAAATCTTACTACACGTCGAACAAAGATCATCTCTTCTACGAGCTCCAGGATATCAGTCTTCATGTCCTGGCACATTCGCAGGCAGACCTGGCTCATGCTGCAAGTATGTACTCTGGCCCCGTGTACTATTGAATTCGGAACTGACATTTTGGTTTTTTTTTTACTTAGTCCTGGGGAAGTTCAAGGCTCTCTAGAGGAGCCTTTAGTCTTCAACTTTCTTCGTGAATCCGGAAAACATTGCCTGAAGGGCGATTTACAAATCAAGGGTGGTCTAGTTATGCTGTTTTAGACACGATATCCCGTATTATAATATTTCTTACATATTTTCAATCGTTCACCTCGGCCACATGAAGTAGATGTATAAATAGGCTCAAAAAAGTCAAAGGCTCGAGTGTATGCGTATGAAGTGGAAGTTTACGGTGAATTAATGTCGTTTCATTTGAACCTATTGTAACAAAGACCCAGTTCTTCCCCAGGATATTAACCCGCTAATGCATGGAAACAAAAGAAAAAAAAAAAGAGCACCAATGAAATGCATGTGTTGTCGATGATCTAGAAAGAGTCAATGACATGCACGATAAATTGCTTGTAGCTCAGTTCCTCAGTTCTTTCAAAGGAGATCAACCCGCTAAATCATGGATAAACAGAATACAGGCTGAAGATCGGAATGTCAGGACAGAGATGATGTGGCAAGGGACCACCAAAGTAATGCTGCTGGCATGCACGATAGATTTCTCAAAGTCATAATCATAAGATGCAGATAGGATGAGCATGGGGAGGAATCATGACGCATAGAGAAAACGAACTTCTCTGAAATGGAGCGTAAAAATGTTTCATAGTCGCTTAGCGACGGAAAAATGGTGCTTGGTTCGACGAGAGAAGAGAGTCAGCACGTTGGAAGACATCGCCCTCGAAGAATTTGTCACTGTAGGCACTGGCTGGTGTGGATGGAACAGTGGCCTGCGCAGCGGGGCCGAGCGCCGCACTCAGCGGAGTGGCAGGAACGGTGACTGATTGCGGGGGCGACATCATACTGAATTGGAAAGAGGGATTGTTGGTCAGGGCGGATGTTGAGACGGATGTTTGATGATGTTGCAAGTGTGGAGTCTGTAGCGGAGGGCCGTACAAGGCACTAGGAGGGGGATGGCGGTCTGGGTCTGCAAGGTAGGCCCATGGGGATACCTCAATCAAGCGGCCTGCTTCCCGGCTAGCTTTTTGGACTGGGCGTAGGAGAATGATGACATCGGCAGGTAGAAGTTGCATACTTCTCAACTCGCGCATCTCGTTCACTAGGTCGACGAAAGATTGCATGAATGATTTGCATAGCTGCCAGAATTCGCGTTGATTGCGAAGTCCGCCGCCTGGTTCTTTAATCTTCATGGTCGAGAGACGCTGTCCTAGGGCATCTGAAACTTCCAGGCAAAACTGACATCGACGGATGAGGTTGTTCCAGAGGATTTGGATTCCCTCGGAGTCGCGTGATTGTTGAGAAGCCTCTAGGCACCTTACAAATTGCCGACAGGCCAGTGGAAGTGCCCCGTATGCAGCATGATATGTAGCGGTCAGCTGATGGAAGATCTTTTCGAATATTCGCTCCTCCTCGTTCTCGTCCAGTCCAGTCAATGTGCTGACCCGGGGAGCCCCGGGCACAGGCATAGGAGGGAAAGTTTCGCCTGAGCGAGGAGTTGCCAACGAGTGTGGCATGGATGCGTTGATCATGTTCGATCTGCTACTCGAGCGACTGCGTGCGTACGACGAAGAGAAACCAGGAGAGCTAATGCTAGTCTGATTGGAAGTCATAGTCATAGGGTACTGAGGGTGTCGAATTGTCGTGTCGCTTCGCAATCGTCGTGTGGGTGGGGCGGGATCTCTCGTTGGAGTGACCAGGGGAGTTGAGATCGGTCTGGGACCGCGGGGAGTGGGTTACTTGGCCCAACCAAGCGCTTTGTAGCAGAGCTACGTTTGTTGATGGTCTGCAGCGGAGCATTGAGAATAGTGCAAGCATTCCGTAGCTCCACTAGGCTGCCGAACATCGTTAGCATTAGCGATCGTACATAGCGCGGATCGCCGTTGGAAACGATCTTGGCGACATTGTTGCGTAGCTGCGTGCCGACGTGAATGTAGGCGGAGATGCATGTCTCGCATTCACGTTTGACCGTTTCTGTGACTGATGCGATTGACTCTGGATCATTGCACAAAGCATTTGATGCTTTCTCGAGGGCATCGTTGAGTTGGTCAACATGCGAGGAAGCATTATAAAAGACAAGCTCAAGGCTGTGGCGTCTGGTGTCATCATGCTTGATCACGTTGATCAATGTATCGATATGGGAATGAACTTGAGCGAGAGCAAAAAGAATACCTTTTGCACTCTTGATTATCGGTTCGTCGGATCCACGCTCACCCTTGTGTTCAGGCAGACTCGACATTCGATTAACCCAGCCATCTCGCGGACGCCGACGCTCTCTTGGGCTGGTGGGGCTTGGGGGAGTACTGTCATTCGAGGCTATTGGCGGCGCACTCTGGCGCGGTCGAAGCACAGATCCATGGCTGAGACCCCGTAGATGGCTATTTCGATATGGGCGCGTTTCATCCAATGTACCCAGATCAGTATTCTTCCGAGTGATCACTCCCATTCTTTTGCTACGAGCAACCGATGATCCTTGGATTATCCCCTCACTATTACTTCGATTGCGCTCGTTGACAGAGTGAGGTGCAACACCAGGTCTTTGGAGACCAGGCAGGTGGTAAGTAGCACCTTGCTGTCCAGAGGCCATGCGATAGTGTGATTTCAAGGGAATTGGCGGTGCTCGTGATATCGATGGAGATCGAGATGAGGTTGCTGAGCTATCACCAGTGCTAGGAATTACTGGAAATCGGCCACTCAAATTCCGCTTCGAGGGTATCGGTGTTGGTACCGGTTTAATATCAAAAGAACCATCACTGCGTTGACACCGAGTTAGCTTGTATCCACCCGAAGACCGTAATATGAACAAACCTTGTATAAGCAACGATTTCTGGCTCGGGTGTACTCGTCTGTTGTCGTGTTTTCATGAAGAATCTCTTAAGTTTGGTCGTGGCTGCAACTTCTTTCTCGTTGTCGGTCATCCCAGATGGTGCTGCGTCGTTCTCGGTTTCCTCTAGTATGTCACGCAGTGGCTTTCGCAGAGGATTCCCCACACATTTGAAAATTTGAAGCTTATGCATCTCGGAGAGTCCAGCAGGGAGGTCAACGAGGCGATTTTGCATCATCGAGAGAACTCGCAATGACTTCAATTTGCTGATCTCATTTGGTAACTCCTTGATTTTATTTCGACTTAAATCAAGAATTTCGAGTAATGGTAGTTTGTAAACCTAGCAAGCAGGATTAGCGCAACGCAAACAACAAAGCAACTTTGCCATTGTACATACTCCTTTGGGGAATTCACGGAAGTTATTTGCTCTGATATTGAGATAGCGTAGATGCGAGCACTCTGCGAAGCGATAGGGAATGTGGAAAAGTTGATTGTTCGACAGAGACAGCCTTTATAGTAATCAGTATAGTCCAGAGCAGTGATGCCGTAGCCTATGAACAGGCAACGGAATACTTCACTATAACAGTTCAAAGCAAGGCTCCGACGTACCGTTCGACCTCGTCTTTGATCAAGTCCACTACTGGTTCGGGGATCCTGGCAATGTGTGAATGACCAAGGTCAATGGTCAACTTAGGCTTGACCACATCTGTGACGGCCTCGCTGCCTGCCAGGGAACGCTTGGTGTCTTGAATGCCACTTTCAACGGCATGTCGCGCTAGCTCAATGGTTTCCTCCGGGCTAAGGGTTTTTGGTGCAGTCGGTTGCTTGCTGGTATTATCCGGGGCATCATCTAAAGCAGTCCCTGGCCGACTTTCCTCTTCTGGGTACGGAAAATCATCGCTTTGTGACGCGAGGAATCCCCCTGACTCTGGCGTTCCATTTTCTGTCTCATCTTCGTCTGTCTCGCTACGGTTCAAGCGCGGCCCACGTATTATGTCCTCAGGACGAGTCATGGCGGATGTCATGGCCGATAAATACCCGAATGTTGTCGATCAAACACACGTCGAAGCAGCACTTTTGTTGATGAATTGATGTAACCAAAAGCCAAAAGAATGTCCAGTTGCAGCGACCATTACCATATGAACACACTTTGGGCACCTGCGCAAAGCATCGTTGGTTGTGATGAAGTCGGAGGGGCGGACTGTCACGACGTTGGACGGAGCTTAAGGCGGCCGTTGGGGTGGAGTCGGAGTGGAGGAAGAGGGATCGGAATCGTCAAGTGAGGAATCGGCCGGGTATCAAGCGGTCCAATTCAGAGCAGATTGGTTCAAAACCGAGTGAAAGAGTGCAATGAAGCTCTCATGGAGGTTGACAATCGCGGGCGCGATAAAGAGATTAGCCACGATCGGGGTCTGGCAGGTCAAAGAATGCTGTTATCGAAGCAACAAACGTCCTAAGTGTAAGGCTGACGCGAATAACCAAAACGAAATTGAGTCTCCTGGGAATGAAGGGAATTGGGGACATTCAAGTTGGGCGAGGCTGGAAATCTTCTGATTGGGTGAAACATGCCCAAACGCCGGACCTCCGCAACTCTGCGTCTCGACTCCGCCTGCGTCACTATATTGAATGATCAAGGGCCATATTTAGTGATAGTTTAAGAGCTACAATTTATCTGCTACACCTAGAAATGAATTGACCAAGGATGCATGTGCTATCGCGTGAATAGAGCTAGGGAAGTACAACGCCCAGCAGAACAGATCAAATAATATACATAGGCCATCAATATGAAAGACTAGGGGATCAAAAACTCCTGAAAAAGGAGGCGTAGAATAATGGTGTTCGAGCCCACTCCAACATCTCAGACTCTTACAGAGTGACCGCCTCTGTTTCTTCGGCTTCGTGCTCACTTGACTCAGTAGTGTCTCCCAGATCTGGTGCGCCGCTGAGAGCTGATTTCCGCTGATCCTGAATCAAAGATGTTTCCCGGGCCCAGGCAACCCATTTGTCGTACTGCTCATTCTCCATCTTCATGCCAATGTCCATGTATGATGGTCCGAACTCTGCGCCATAAGCCGCGGCTTCTTCCGCAGCCACCCGACGTTGAATGTCCTCCTGCAACCGCAGTCTGTAGAATTCTCGACGAGCAATATCGTAAGCGACGCTCTTTTTCATATCCGGGACGTTATTCAAAAGCCACAGCTGTCGTTGGACAACACTAGTATCAGAAAAGTAACACGTTAGCACCGGGGAAGTTTTGCGTAAGAAAAATAAATGCATTAGAAGTGGAAACATTGGGAACACACCTTTCACCATCTAACCGCTTCCCTGGCTGTTGGATGCGGCTCCAATCGTAGTGTTCAAAGTCCTTGCCAGTGCTCTCAAGAAGCACACGGGGCCGAGCAAGCTCCCAGGGATGATCGCGGAAGAACTGAGTTCGCAATTGATCTTCCTCATATTTGAGCTCGACAGGCTGGAAAAGTCGACTAGGCTTCTTGGGCTTTCTGCGCTTCTCTTGGACTTGGAAGACGACCTGCGGCTTCGATAATCCATCGACGGTCTTCAACCGCTGCTGGACAAGCTCATGCTGAGGGGGGCGAGTACGAATGAGGGTTTCAGCAGGAGGGATCTCGCCGACCACACTGACCCATTGTGGCAGTTTGCTGGTCTTTCCACTGGCGAGTTGATTGAGTGCTGTCTGTCGCACCCGGAGGGCTGTGAGGTTTATTTTGCCCATGGCAGTCGGACACAGCTATTAGCTGAAAGAACTTGAAATAACAAGAAGAATTGAAACGCGACTGGAGACAGCAAATCAATTGACAAGATATGCGCTGCAAGGGGACGAGGTGGTTGATGCGGGAGCGAAAAAGATGGGATTGGCAAAGGGCGGCTCCGATTGGTCGAGGGATGGACTCCGCCAGGCCAGAAAGTGCAGGGCCGTTCATCTTCAGAAAAACACTCCTACGTCTTCCGCATCTTGTCCCTCTCCCCCTTTGTCTGCTTTTCGCGCCCAGAAAGTAGACGGCTCTCTCTTGTGCGAGTGGCAAAGGGCTTTCTCTTGGATGCGGCCTACCTAATGCCACGATGTCTGTCATCTCATGCCTCATCCAAATAGGTCCCCCAGCTCGCCAAGCCTGCGAATTCACCCCAAGCAGGCCTTGGATGAGCTTCCTCTCTTTCGACAAACCTCAATGCCTCCCTCGAAACCCCCTTCTCACACCTCCTCGGTCCGAAGACTCTGTTCCCGTCGTCCTCGCCCATCCGTCGCGTCAATAGCAGATATTTTTGTCGGCTCGCTGGTTCTGGCAAGCTTCTGCCACGAACACTCGCCGAATCGTCGGGGGTTGTCTACGGTAGCCTGGAGTGCCTCAGATTATAATCTACGAAAATTTCAGGGCAAAGGCGCCACTGGTCGCAGACAACTACCACCCCGACGACAAGCAGAGTATTCAAGCTCAAGGTTTCATCTGTCGCAACCCAAAAGATTGATCAGCAATGGATTGGCACGTACGAATGACGATAACAGAGAGGAGTATAATATTGAGACCGAGTCACGGGAGGAGACGGAGACAGACAACGACTATATACCATTGTGGCCTTCAAAGAATGAAGACGCGGAATCGCAGACCCATTGTGAAAGATTTGATTTTACATACGATTTCGACCGCAGAATAGAGATAACAGAATACACCAAAACCGACATCGACCCCAAATTGCCGGACAAATACCCCCGCCAATCCTTCCCATCATGGCTACATCCTGAGAAGGAGAAACACCTCCACACCTCGAAGCTGTACGAAAAGTCATTGGTGGATTATGACTGGGAGGAAGCAGTGAATGCTGTAGCGCCATATTCGCGTTACAAAAAGACGTACAAAGATGATTCGCCCGATCAAATGGAAATCCACTCGGTTGAGAAGCTGGTCAGGACGTTGTGGGAAGAGCCAAACCCGTCCACTCAATACTTGTTCCGATTATACAGGGATATTCCCGCCCCGGGTGTAGCTTTGCTTTCGAAACGCACCCGCGGTGCTCTCTTGCGTTTGTTCGCGCATCCTCGAGATCGACGGTGGGTAGATGCTCGTCGCTACTTGGCATTGGTGGACGACATGGTAACTGCGCGACTCCCGCTATCCCGCTCACTATGGTCTTCCGCGATACATCTTTCTGGTCGAGCCAACGGCAAAGTACTGAAACGAGATCTTATCCGAGCCGTGGGCATGTGGCAGAAGATGGAGCATATCGCTGGGGTGAAGGCTGACGAGGTGGTCTTCAACATTCTGTTCGACATCGCAATCAAAGCCAGTGCGTTCAAAGTTGCTGATCGCTTAGAGGAGGAAATGACTGAGCGGGGTCTGAGCTTTTCACGCTGCGGAAAGACATCAAAAATCTATTATTTCGGGATGATACGGGATGTTGAAGGTATTCGTGAGACTTTCGACGATTTTGTGAGATCGGGCGAGATCGTCGACACAGTTGTCATGAACTGTCTCGTTGCCTCTTTCCTCCGGGCAGGTGACATCCAAACTGCGGAGCAGCTCTACGCACGCATGCTGGAGAAACAATCAAGCAACAACAAACGCCTTTCGCATTCGGACGATGGGTCCCACGATGGCGGGCCAAATCTGAGCTATGACATGCCCCAATATCGGGAAAGAGCTAGGAAGTTGGGCCGCGTATTGAAGAAGTCATCAGCACTCAAGGAGAAATTCCCAGAATACCACCGTGCTCTCCAGGATTCTCTCTCCATTGCACCCGACACGCGAACTTTTTATATCTTCCTACGACACTATGCCTACAACACTGGCCAGCTCGATAGCTTCATGGCTGTCATGCGTGACATGGAGAAGACTTTTACCGTCCCACCACGTGCTATAATCTACCTGTTCCTTTTTGAAGGGTTCGCTATTCATGGTCGGAGGAAAAAGCAGTGGAGTGCGGAAAATCTTCGGCTGACATGGCATGCGTACATCCGGGCTCTGCGCGACTCAAATGCAAGACTCCGTGGATTAAATTTAAATTTGAACAACCGAAAGATCACTTGGGAGAACCCGTTGGCTAAGAGTGTGGCAATCGATGTCGAGGAGCCACCAGTGACCGATTCTCCCAACGGGTTATACATGGCATTACCAACAGAGGATACAGTTGGGAATCCACAGGGATCTGAAGAACCTGCTGAGGGCTCTGCCATGGATGATTCTCAAGACACAGAACAAGACGCAAAGCCTAAGGTGGATGAAACAGAAGATGAATCCACGGAAATAGAGGAACTTGATGTAGATGAGGTCTTCAACCCTCGTTCGCAGTTCCTCAGCGAAGCAGAGCAAGAAGAAGTCTGGGACCCCGAGCAGCGTCTCGAGAATGGTCTTTTTGTTGGGCGTCGCATGATCACCGTTATTCTGCAAGCATTTGGAACATGCTGTGGGCCCCAAGAGGTCCTCGAGGTTTGGTTGCAACTTGAGCGGCTTTGGCATCCACAGCAGCGCAAGGCGATTGATGTTTTTGCCGTCAAGGAAGAGCTTGATAAACAGATGTCCAGGGATCCACATCGGAACCGCTGAACAAGAAAGAGGAGCCGCTGAAATCTGGATTCAGCACTTGTACATTATTTTCCATATAGATCTGCCATATACCGCCTCAATTTCTAGCGTGTCTTTGGCGCAAATGCATTATTTCACATGAATACCAAGTCCAATTCGTAGACTCTAGTTTCTCGTACCGTCATGAAGTCTTGGGCGCAAAAGTGAATCAAATTGCAGTCCAATCAATCCCAGAAAGGAAGGAGCAGGTCACCACGTGACACCGCGTTCTGGGACGCGGTTGAAGACTCAATCTTCTTCTACTACTGCTCTTTCAGCTAACACCTTCGACCTGTCTATCTCTGGTATGAAGCATAATGGATCGTAACCCAGCGGTGACGCGCCAAACAGCCAATATGCGATGGGTCTTAAAACATACCTTCAAAAAGAATGATTTCCGGTGAGTTGACGAACTAAGCAAGAGGGCCAATTTACTTACTCCACCACAAAGTCCACTCCAACGAGAAGTGATCGCGTCCGTCATAGAAGGGCAGGATGTTTTTCTTCAAGCGTGCACTTCGTTTGGAAAGAGTTTGTGTTATCAGTTACCTGCAGTTCTCAAAGATTGGGGCTGTGAGTTTTAACGCCTCTTATTTTCAATGACGGATTGGCCTGACTTCAATATCTCTCTAGTGACTGTTGTCGTCTGTCCACTTCTCTCATTGATGGTGAGTGTGGTTCAAGAAAGTGTGTAGTCAAACGCTAATCCCTAACAGACCGATCAAGTGAACACATTGAAAGCTCTTGGCGTAGCAGTCGCTACGATCAACTCTAATACTACTCACGATGAGAGACAGCGTGTTTTCGAGGATATGCTGTGTGGCCACCCAAGCACACGCCTGCTTTATGTGACTCCAGAGTTATGCCAGACCGACAACTTCCGCCGCCGCTTGCTCATAGTTCACAAGCAAGGTCAGCTCATCCGCGTTGCCATTGACGAGGCGCATTGCATTAGTGAATGGGGCCATGACTTCCGACCAGCTTACAAAGAGCTAGGCTGGCTCAGGAAGAACCTCGTCAACCCAACTGTCCCAATCACTGCCTTGACGGCTACTGCGACACCTCGAGTTCGCTCGGACATGATAAACATCTTGGGGTTGGATCTGGAAAATCTCCGGATGTTTAACACCCCATCGGATCGTCCAAATATCCACTACGAGGTACGATATCTCGCAGACTTTGCCGAGGATAACAGTGGCGCAGAAGACAGCCAATTGCAAAACTTGCTTAGATGGCTTAAGGCTATCCAAACCCGACGAGAGTCCCGACTTGGCAGCGAAGTAACACTACTTCCTCCGATATCAGGAATCGTATATGTAGGAACCCGAGCTATGGCCGAACACCTTGCAAGCCGGCTATCCTCTTCCTCGGACGAGATGGTCATGGCAGTGGCATACCACGCCGGCGTGGAAGCCACCAAGCGCGCGCACATTCAATCAACGTGGAAGTCATCTCGGCCGTGCCAGCCCGCTAATGGGGAAAAGACACCCACTTTCTCCATCATCGTGGCAACCAATGCCTTCGGGATGGGAATCGATAATCCAGATGTCCGCTTTGTCGTGCATTGGACACCACCCCGAAGCTTCGAAAGCTTTGTTCAAGAGTCAGGACGTGCAGGTCGGGATGGCCGCGCCGCTGCCTCACTTGTCTACTACGGAATTCAAGAGAGGAACTTCATAGAGACTATGATATACCGTGATACTGAATCTCACCGTGCGAATGGCCCCGAAAATCGAGAGGCCAAGCTTCAAAGCTTCGGTAAGGTCATTCGGTATTGTGAGAGTATTAGGAGGTGCAGACATGAACTGATCAAAGAGTTCTTCGGTGATTTCGAGCTAGAGGAAATGGGGTCACAACTGCCGGCTAGGGAAGGTGTGTTTGTTACAAGCTCATCTCCTTGCGACTTCGCCTGCGATTTTTGCAAAGAGGGTCGTGCCGGGTTGGCGAAGCGCCGGGAGAAAATGGCATCCGAGACTCAGATGGCTCTCCTATATGCGGATTTCGACTAAGTGATATCATCCTCTATTTGATCGTGCTGCATGATTTAGTATTTTCTTTAATTTTCTTGGCCTTGTCATCTTGTTACTTCTGTTAAGTGTTTTGCTTGCATTTTTGAGGCGCGAACAGCATGAATGAATGGCGCAGGGAGGGGGCTTTTTGTACTTCACATATACCACAGAGACAGAGACATGAAATCCAGCATCTGAGCCGCTCAGCAACCTGCCCTCGCTTCTAAAGAGTTTAGTCACAGCAAGAAATCCACTGTCAATAAGCAAGCCTTTTATTATGAACACAATTATGAAGTTTACCGAGTATGGAAATAGGTAAATCAAAGGGTTAGACACAAGGCAAACTGCTAGACTTTCTTTAGCACAGACAAAAAGATCAGAAAGAGATTAACGACAAGAAATCGCTGTATCACCCTCATTTTGCAAACGACCAGGACATGCTTTTGTTCGCCGTGTATGTCAAATGAATGCGACTAGGCAGCAGAAGGCACAACATTAACCCACCAAAACGGCTTCTGGCTTAAAGACCAGGGGGGTGGGGGGACCTGCAATTCATATATCAGTAATTAAAACTAGCACGAATGACATGCGAATAACGTACCGCGCTGTAGCTGCCACCTGCACCAGGAGGCGGAGGTGGCGGGGATCCGGAGCTAGGAGGTGGAGGAGGGGCCTCGCTAGCCAGAGCAGCAGGTGAAGCAGCAGGTGGAGCAGCGCCATCTGTTTGCTGCTGGGCAGCAGCCATTTGCTGATAATACTGGTAGTATGCGACGTAGTTCTGGTATCCACCGTAGGCAGCATAGGGGTCGGTAGTGCCGTAGTACTGGGCGTACTGGGCACTGTAATCGGCGGCAGTGGGAGTAGCAGCAGAGCTCGGGGAAGCAGCAGCGGCAGCCTGGCCTGCAGGGCTAGCAGAAGAAGTATTATGCTGCTGACGATTGTTGTAGCCGCCGCCGTATCCACCACCGCCTCCACCTTGGTAGCGATCACCACGATCACCGCGATCACCACCGCGGTATCCACCGTAGTTGTGCTGGGGTGGGTTCTCCTTGAAACGCTGGTATTGTTCCTTGACATTGGTTAGAAGGTCCTCGCAAAGCTCCTTTGCTTTCTGGACATCGTTGGCGTCAGGACCACTTGAAAGACTGTTAGTATAAGCTCATAGTAGAAATGAGCGAGGCAAAAAGGAAGGGAGAAAGAAAGTCAGTAAAAAAGTAGATGGAAACTCACGCCACATGAAGGAACATCGCTTCGTCGCTTTCACGTCCAGTGCTCGATTCGATGAATCCAGAGCCACGGCCCTTGATCTGAACACGGCAACGAGTCTGCTGTTGGATATGCTTCACATAAGCACCGCCCTGTCCGACGACCTGAGCGCGCAAGTTGAAACCGGGGATAGGCTCAAGATCGATGGGGATACGCTCATCCGGCCATTTACGCTGTATGAAGTTAGCCAGATTATTAAATTAACCAAGGGGAAAGGAATAGTCTCATACACGGCCATACTCATCACGCTCAACCTGCTGCTCAGGTTCCCGGCGGCGGAAGCGTCGCTCGTCGACCAGGTTCGGAAGTTCTTTTTGCATCAGGTCATTAATCATCGCGACTGCTTTCTCCAGACCATCCTTATTGGTGCTGGTCACGTGTAGGTACAGGGGAGGGCTCTAAACCAGAATAATCAGCATTTGATCTCCCCAATCTTTGGGGGTAGTTCTTACCGCAGCAGTCGCCATGTTCTTGTCGGGGTAATAATTGCCTCGGGTTGTCACATCTTAAGAGAAAAAAACAGTGAGTGGGACCTTCTTTGCCTAAAGTTGAGAATATAAAAGGAAGTCGTACCGGCGCCGGTTTCATCTTGAATCTATAAGTCACGCAGCGGAGGTCAGCAGATGCAGCAGAGGGTGAATTGGATGCTATGTTTTAGTGAAGGGTAAGCTTCATCCAGTCCAAAAGAAGAGAGCAGAACGATGAAAGGGCGAGATACAGAGTACCCCAATCTTCTATAAGGAACATGACTGGAATATCAGCAAGTGACAAAGGGGATAATTACCATCTTCTGAGTAGACCCCTTCGTCAGGGTGTAGCGATTGCGCAGATCATTGATCTCAATGTCCTTGATGTAGTCTCCATCTGCGACGTAGATTTCGGCGTTCAAAGTTGCTGCGCCCTCGGTGGCGGGCGACTGGGAATTCTCTGTCGCGTTGTCGGCCTGTCACACAGTATTAGAAATTGGGTATAACGAATCGAAGTAGGTGTGTATTCACAGAGCGGATCGGAGGCACATCAACGTGTTGAATGCCCTTCTTCGCCTGAAGCTGCGCATTAATCTTGGCTGCTGCTGCCGCTATAGAGACCACAATAGTTAGCCGTCTGATCTGAATTGTGTCTGTATATGGACCCAAGTGTAACGCACCTGCGGCGGCGGCCGGATCCACTGCAGATTGCTTTGCTGGAGTATCTGCGCCAGGGCTGCGACTCAGCGGGCGACTCAACGGACTACGAGTGCGGGCCGACTCCGAGTGTCTGTTGGACGGAGATCGAGAGCGTCGGTCAAAACGGGAGCGCCTGGGCTCAGGTTCAGTTTGGTCAAAGCGAGACCGCTTCACTCGGTGCTCATCGTCCGCCATGGTGAAAGGTGGGGTACAATGAAAGGGAGAAAAAAAAGGTCGGGGAAGAGAAGCTCAAAAAGGTCCAGATCGATTGCGGGAAGGAGTTTTAGAGGCGGAGGCCGAGCGACCAACAAACAACGCCACCAAAGACAAATCTGGGGAGATTCTAAGTAAAACGAAAAGCTCAAAATGATGAGAAAGCTGAGGGATATTATATATTTCTCATTTCCAAGAGCTGGTCCGGCTTTTGGCAATCCCTTTGGACCATGTTGAATATTTGAGGTCACGTGGTAGTAAATCACGTGCCTTTTATACTGGCAGATATACTATACCTCTTTAGGTCTAGTTTATTCTGAGTCAGCGGGCGGTCGCCGAGGTCGGCCGATTAAAAAGAATATACCCGGGGCGAATCTGGAGTGATTCATCGCACAACCCATTCACATTACGAACTCCTCATGGCTTTCAGGCGCCCATTGACGCTGTCCTTGGGGTCAGCGTCGCAGCTGTCATCTGCTGCTGCTAGTGCCCGGTCCCGCGCTGCTGCCCTTCCTCGATTCACCACTATTCGTGCATCGTCGAGCTCAACTTCAGCTCTTGCCTACAAGGCATTGCACCGTCGCTCTCCTCTGCCTTTGCCCGTCTCCGATGCTTCCCCTCAATGGGATGCTCCCACCGCTGTCTCCTCCATTCTCTATGAGACTCCCGTGGCGCCTTCTAACCCACCCAAGCGGCACATCCTGAACTGCCTCGTGCAGAACGAGCCCGGTGTGCTGTCCCGTGTGTCTGGTATCTTGGCCGCCCGTGGCTTCAACATCGACAGTCTGGTTGTTTGCAACACCGAAGTTGAGGATCTCTCGCGCATGACCATCGTGCTGCAGGGCCAGGATGGTGTCGTCGAGCAGGCTCGCCGCCAGCTGGATGACCTCGTCCCTGTCTGGGCTGTGTTGGACTACACCGACTCCGCTCTTGTGCAGCGTGAGCTTCTCTTGGCTAAGGTCTCTATCCTTGGTCCTGAGTTCTTCGAGGAGCTTCTCCAGCACCACCGCGAGATCACCACCTCCCCAGACTCTATGGACCACAAGCACACCAGCCTTGACCACACCGCCCAGCAATACCACCCCCGCCACCTTCCCCAGAGTCAAGCTCTGCGTCACAAGCACGAGCACTTGGATGCCATTACCCGCCTGACTCACCAGTTCGGTGGTAAGATCCTGGATATCAGCACTAACAACTGCATTGTCGAGGTGTAAGTATTTCCTCTTTCTGACTCATGCTTTTTGATCACAATTGACTCATTTTTCCTATAGCTCTGCCAAGCCTAACCGTATCGACTCTTTCCTCAAGCTGATCGGTCCCTTCGGTATTCTTGAGTCCACCCGGACCGGTCTGATGGCCCTTCCCCGCTCTCCTCTGGGTGAGCCCAGCGAGGAGATCGAGAAGGATGCTGCCGACGTTGTCGATGCCAGCACCCTGCCCCCTGGCTAAGCTATATATCGAATTCCGAACTCAAAAACTTACATACCCGAATAGGATTCGTTTGGTCTCTTGGCTTTGTGTATCTTATGGCTTTCCCGTGGAGTTGACCTAATTTTAAAATTGATGGCTTAGCCATTGTATGTAAAATGACAACAGTTATTGTTTCTCTCGCATCTATACATATCCCTTCCTTTTTTTCAACTACAAATTGCTATGATACTTCAAGTGGCGGTGTACGGTAATTCAATATATACCTGCCGTGGCGTTCCCTAGATTGGAGATCGTACATACTCCACCATGCTTGCTTCCAATAGTCTCTCAAGCATTAATCATGGAGAAAAATAACATTTCTACTACCATCTTAATGATATTTAATTGGTGTTTCTATAGCGACCGTAGTTTATAGTCTTACCACGGTGACATCCCAAGAAGACATACAATTACTGCTCATGTCTATCTAAAAGAAGTTCCATCTAATTGCCCAACTAATGAGATGTAGGACTGCCAGGAATCCCTTTAGCATGTGCATATATACACAATATATCAGGTCCATTCTGCAGCGTATAGCTTAATAATGATACATGCCCAGGTGGGGCTATAGCGAAGGTCAGCAGAAGGGAACGGACAGCCCAGGATTTCACAATGAGACCCGAAGATAGGATAAGATGGCACTAGAACAAGTGCACAAGCTCGGATAGATCAGTTCTGACACTGAATCCGCCAAGATTTGGACTTCCACAAACTCATCGTATCTGACCACGCCCACGCGGGATGACAAGAAGGGACAAGAGGCCAACTAGCCATGGCTGTGAAGTGGTATTCCTTCGGCTAGTCACCCTATGGTTAGCATATGTATGTTCATTATATCAAGCATATATACTTACTAGCTCCTTGGTGTTGGTTGCGGACATGTGGGTGTAGAGTAACTCTATAAACAAGGCCACACGTCTACTGCTCCAAGAACGGGCGTTGTGTTGGCCGTCATTATGGGCTTGGTGTTCTCTTCGGGGGTGAGGACAGGATAGTGTTTATTCTCCCCGTTCAGGTAGGACTTGTGAGGTTTTACCCGCTCAGCCAAGTCCTACCTAGACAGGAATATAGACGGTAGTCTAGTGCTGATTGGGAAAATAGAAGGCATTTTTAGTCTTATATATTTGGGTATATGTCTGTACTCTTGCTCTTGGTTTGATGTGGTTTCATTTGGCGTTAATCTTTGAATGTAAACTGGGAGCAATATAATGCTCTTATATTGCCCCCGGACATTGCCGATTCAGCAACAATAAACACAACGCAAGACCAAGACCTCCAATACGCTTTAAATCCTCACTTTAGCTGCAATGCCCTTGCCATGGTAGAGAATGACATCCGTATAGTTCCCAATTAGAACCCCAACCTTAGCGACAGCATCCATCTCCAACGACTGACCAAGTGCCTTGCGCAGGGCGTCGTACCCAACCCCGCCCATATCGAGATCGACTGGCAAGCGTGGGCTCTTGGATATACCAGGCGGCACTTCAAAGGGTTGATGATTATTGATTCGGCCGATTGGCTCATTTTTCTCATAGAAAGCTGTTGCGTCAATTGAGGTGATCAAGATATTGTTTTCTGTTAGGGGTGAAGAGAGGATGAATTCTGCTGTGGAGGACCAGAGATAGAACTAGATTTATGAGTAAGTGTTAGTAGAGACTTCTTCTCTCTGTGTGGGGACATGACTGAATGAAGGGAGTACGTACCGTTGCATCATGGATAAAACGAGGTTTTCGATCCCCATCATCGCTACCCGGGGAACCCGGAACAGATATGCGAGGGACAGGAACAGTAATGTTGAGGACAGATAATGCTTCACCTAGGCCTGGTAGAGATGGAATCGTGTTTCGATGGCTTTTGATGGTGATCGTTGTATTCAAGCCTGGGTGAAAGCATCAGCATAATTTACCACAGACCACAAGAATTCATGCTATCTACAAGGGACTGACCTGATATATAGGATGAAAACAATGCCCGTCCTGCCTCGACACCATCTATTCCAGCGGCGTCCAACGGGCACCAAAAGAAGTCAATAGGCACGTAACTGTTGTTGCCAGGTCCAACGGAGATATTCCGAGCGGTGATGTGGGCCACAGTAGTGTCATTGTAGAGTATAAGGAAGTCAACGAAAGGGACTGTAGCTGAATAATTCGTTGGATTGGTAAAATTCACCTGCGTGGATACCAACATCGAAGATTCAGTCGTGTTTCCTAGTATTAATGAGACGATGCCCGGATTGATTCGGTCAAGTGAGTTGCCGATGGAAGCTATGACATGGTCAATGGCCAAAATATTCTTGATTTGTACTAAGATCTTCTAATTCATGAAAACATACTCTTCACGGGTACCTTCCCTTCCGCAGGAATCCCTCGCACGGCGAAGCGGCCCAAGCCAGTCAAGACCTTTGTATCTACGGTGGCAGCGACCCGCAGTGTGACCGTTTCGCTACCGAAAAGCATTGCTTGGATGACCTCTGTCAAAAGCCCGTCATCTGTGACTTCTAATGGTGCTTCCTTGATTGCAAACTCCACAAGGAGTGCAGAAGACCCATCTTGATCATCCACCAGTGTGGAGTTGGCGTCTTGCCAGTGGCTGATATTCAACACGCCGAACTTCTCTTTTTTGTAGTAGACATCTGCAAGGGCACGAACTTGCGGGACTTCTACTTGGAAATTCATCTCTTCTGGCAAAGCGACGAGAACCTTTACTAGAGCAGACACTGTCGGTTGCGAGTCTGGAGAATCTGGCTCCGCGAAAGGGTTAGGAAGGGAGAAATGGGTATCGGACATCGTGAAGTTCTTCACGAGGTTGTCCAACGCATGTCCCGTAAATGGAAGAGGCACAGTCACGCTGCGCAGGAGATCGACAATCCATGCTGGGGTATCGGGCAATGGTGCATCAGATCCACGAACGAAGATAGTCGTTTCGAGACCTTGCATAAAGCTCGAAACCAAAAGATCTAGAGGAGAACCCTCCTTTCCTGGGCAGGTAGAGGTCAATGCATCCGGTAGCTGTTGGATGAGACCATCAACGCCGACTGCAGTCTCCTGGCCAGGGTAAACATCTACCGCGCTTGTCTTCGCATTGGCGACCAGAATATAAGGATCCCCGGGTGAACAGTTTGGCACCAGAATGTCAAAGCCGAGGGCAGGAACAGTGAGAGCGACGGGAGAATCAATCAAAGACGAAATTAAGACATCCACTGCCATGGCACCGCTGTTTGCATCATGCACATTCAGCTTGAGGATATTGACTGATGGCAGAGCAGGGAAATCATGTTCTGAGAAGGGTTAGCTTATATGTTCCAGTACCAAAGACGACCAAATACACTATACCTTCAATGATAATATTGTCTGTTAGAACTTGAGTTCCTAAAGCGAACAATCCTGACTTGAGCTCTAATGTTGCCTTGCCCTTGACATTAAGGCGGCCCAATCTTCCCTCAATCCAATCAATGGCTATCGCGTGGATTCCTCGAATGTCACCAGCCTCTAGATCAGTGAGGAAGTCGACATTTGTATGATGGCCGTTACGGATGCTCACTTTGATGGAGGGCAATGATGCGTTTCCAACAAGCACATTCCCATATTCTGGGAGATAAACTTCAACATTCGATGGGCCCGTCTCAACCTCCCTGGCAATCCATGTGGCCAATCGGCCAATGCCTCGAACCGACTTATTCTTCACGCGGCCCGAATCCATCACGAAATCGCCCTGAATCCGGGCTCGAACGCCGTCGGATGTCGTAGAATCAACTGATACTGCCGTCGGTCTGAAGACAGCAGCTTCTTGCGCATATTCTTTGACTGCCGCGGGGGCAGCAAAGGCAAGTACCAGTATCGCCAAAACACTCAGCGTCAAAACGGAGAGAGAGATAACCGTCGGCCATGGTACACGGTTCCGCTTCTCGATGACGCCATTCTCGGGCGAAGATGATCGCGACAATCCTTGCTCGGTCCCGTAGGTCAACCCATCTTCACGGCGGTGTAATAAAGGTGTTGATTCTGATGACAATTCATATGATGGCCTAGGCTGGTCGATGGATGCTCTCTCCGGAGACCGTTCAGTAAGGCTAGACTGCTCATCCAACAGAGCCTGGTTCGCCGCATCCGACACCGCGGCCCCCCTGGAATGAGATCGCGATATTTTTTGCTCTGTTTTACCCTTCCATTTGTATTCAGAGTGGTGCAAATCATGTGAGGAATCTGTCGATAATTGATATGATGGCCTGGGCTCGTCGTCGGATGCTCTCTCGGAGCCAAACTGCGCATCTAGCAGAGCCTGGTTCGCCGCATGCGACATCGCAACCCCACTTGAATGAGATTGCGATGTTTTTTGCTCTGTTTTACCCTTCCATTTGTATTCAGAGTGGTGCAAATCATGTGATGAATCTGTCGATAATTGATATGATGGCCTGGGCTCGTCGTCGGATGCTCTCTCGGAGCCAAACTGCGCATCTAGCAGAGCCTGGTTCGCCGCATGCGACATCGCAACCCCACTTGAATGAGATTGCGATGTTTTTTGCTCTGTTTTACCCTTCCATTTGTACTCAGAGTGGTGCAAAACATGTGATGAAGCTGTCGATAACTGATATGATGGCCTGGCCTGGTCGTCGGATGCTCTCTCGGAGCCAAACTGCGCATCTAGTAGAGGCTGGTTTGCCTCGTCAGCCATCGTGGCCCTAAATGTATGGATAAATCAAAGTAGGTTGTAGTTTCTGGAGCTGATAGCAAGTATATGAAAAGGCTGAGTCCAAAGCACACAAGAGAGAGAAAAATAGAGAGAGAGGGAGAGATAGAGGCAAGATGTAATGCAAGGGGCCTCGATGACGATAAGCCAATGATAACGGAACCGGAATTGTGGAGATAGACACCTTGGCACCTAAATTATTGGGCGACAAGGCACCAATACCCTCGCACATCCACCAGACTAATTTATTGAGTCACTCATCCAAGGTTTCTTCACTTCTAGGGCTCCCCCATTCCTTTTTTCCCCTTTCCCTTTCCCACAACACTCCAATTCCCTACCAATAACCTCCAGCTCATCATGGCTAGTGGTCTCACAGCTGCCGCCCGCTATGGTGCCCAAAGTGTAAACCAATTGGCCGGCTCCACCTCATCTTTGCGTCGAACACTCCAGGCTAATGGAATCCGACGATTTGCACACCAGACACCGACCCTACCTCCCACCTCTCCTTTCGCCCCTCGTCACCTCCTCTCCATTGCAGACCTTACCCCTACGGAATTCGCCACCTTGGTCCGCAATGCTGCGTCGCACAAGCGTGCCATCAAGTCCGGAGCTATCCCGGAAAGCCTTTTGGGATCCCTCTCCGGCAAGACCGTGGCCATGATGTTCAACAAGCGCAGTACTCGTACCCGTGTATCCACCGAAGCTGCCACCGTTCAGATGGGCGGCCACCCCATGTTCCTCGGAAAGGATGACATCCAGCTCGGTGTCAACGAATCCCTATACGATACCTCCGTTGTGATTTCCTCCATGGTTTCGTGCATTGTTGCGCGTGTCGCCAAGCACGAGGACGTCGCGGGTCTGGCACAGCACTCCACCGTGCCTGTGATCAATGCGCTGTGTGACTCCTTCCACCCGCTCCAGATCATCGCCGACTTCTTGACTATCTACGAGACTTTCCCTGTTCAGGCACACAAGCTCTCCAGCCTAGGCCTAGAGGGTCTTAAGATCGCTTGGGTTGGTGATGCGAACAACGTTCTGTTCGATCTCGCCATTGGTGCTACTAAGATGGGTGTGGACGTGGCTGTTGCCACTCCTAAGGGCTATGAAATCCCTGCGCACATGATTGAAATCATTCAGCGTGCTGGTGAGGGTGTCGCTAAGGCTGGCAAGCTCACCCAAACCAACGTTCCCGAGGAGGCCGTGAAGAATGCCGACATCCTGGTTACGGATACCTGGGTCTCCATGGGCCAAGAGGAGGAGTCCAAGAAGCGCATGAAGGCCTTTGAGGGCTTCCAGATCACTGCTGATTTGGCTAAGCGCGGTGGTGCTAAGGAGGGCTGGAAGTTCATGCACTGCCTGCCCCGTCACCCCGAGGAAGTAGATGATGAGGTCTTCTACAGCCCACGCTCTCTGGTTTTCCCTGAAGCCGAAAATCGTTTGTGGGCGGCTATTGCCGCGTTGGAGGGCTTCGTTGTGAACAAGGGAAAAATTGTGGAGTAAAAACCGGTTAATTGCGGAGTTTATATAGAAATGCCGAATACCTTTACCCAGCCAATGACAGTCATGATGATTTGAGATTGCGGAGTCAGCCAACCTTGGAATGCCGAGGGTTCTCCGGTGTCAGCGAACCAATCAAAACATGCTCCGACAGCATTGGGGCTTTCGGATGTGGCTCCTCTCAAAATGGCGGGGGCTTCCGAATCTGAGACATGACCCTCTATTATATTCTGATGCAGATCATTCGAGCTGACTATATTGTACAATACACTTGCTATTTATCAGCTATTTGAAATCCCGAGAGCTATATCAAGAAATACATAGGCACAATATCTACGTTCGAATTCAAAATTTACCTCGCATTACCGAATCCGGTATCACTGTAAGCGATATAAAACAGAATATGTCGACTATCAAAGTCCCCAAAGCTGCATATCCCAAAATTCATGCTCGAGATTCGGAAAACATGGTATTTCGCAATAATGCTAGTTGGAACTCGGGGAATCCGAGGTAGAATCTCGGGATCATCTGTCATCCCACATTTACTCCACACTCCGAAGGGGATCTCCAAGACGGTTGATCGGGTAATCCCTTTGGGGGAAATCCGAGCGAATACACATAAAGCTTGCTAGAGAACCTGGAATACCGAATATCATTCACTCAATACTATTCCAGTTTTTAGTATCTGAGAATTCCTGAACACTCCATTATCAAATTACCCTCTACGATCACAATGGGTTTCAAGGACAAACGAGTTGTAATCGTCGGCGGCGGTCTAGGAGGCATGGCCTTCCTCAATGCCGCACTGTACGCCGGTCTGAAGAACGTGCAACTGTACGAACAAGCTGCAAAGTTCGGTGAGGTCGGTGCCGGTGTGAACATCACCTCGAACGCAAACCGCATTCTGGACGCCTTCGGTCTGCAAGAAAGCATGACGCGCAAGTCCTCTGGCAAGCTGCCTTGCTACATGGAATACCACAACTACAAGACCGGGGACTATGTTGGTCACATTGGTGAATTCTCACAGCCCCACGCGCGCCTGCTGCACCGTGCCCACCTACTGGACTCACTGAAGGAGCGTGTGCCGGAGTCAAGCCTGAACTTGGGCAAGCACCTGGCATCTATCGACCGCAACACTGCCACTGGTATTGCACCGTACACCCTTCATTTCCAGGATGGCAGTACCGCCGAGGCAGATATTGTAATCGGCTGTGATGGTATCAAGTCGAATGTGCGCCGGGAGATGGGTCTGGGAGACGACCCCAACTACTCTGGCCAGGTTGTATATCGTGGATTCGTCGATTACAAGGACTTACCCACTGAGACGGCGGCGCTGTTGCGCAAGACTGTGAACTTCCGTGGACCCAAGCGCCATATCCTAATCTTGCCTATTGGTAACCAGGAGACGGGGACCGACCGTGCTGGTGTGATTGGTTTTATGTCTGAGCCACTTGAGGCATGGGACTCTGAGAGCTGGATGTCGCGCTCGGATATCGATAGTCTCCAGGAGCACGTCCGTGATTGGTGTCCAGAGGTGCAGCATATCATTGCTGGTCTGCGCAAGAGCTCCGAGGACGGCAAAATGCTCAAACAGGCGCTGTATGTGCGTGACCCAATCGACAAGTGGTATGAGATTAAAAGTGGACAGAAGGATGCTGGTATCATTCTGCTTGGTGACTCGGCCCACTCGACTCTTCCTCATCAAGGTATGTCGCATCCTATCTATGTTCAGTCCTATTGCGGGACATATACTAACAATATGATATAGGCCAGGGGACATGTATGGCAATTGAATCCGGCATTGCCCTTGCGACGGTCCTCAGACACTGGAAGACGGATGACCTGGAGGCTGCGTTCAAGTTCTACCAGGACCTGCGCAAGCCCCGGACAGACCGGGTCACAAGGACCAGCTACGAAGCTGGCAAGCTGGCTAGCTCAGACTCTCCCGGTGAGATGACCGACAACTTCAACCCGGATGCATTGAGGGAGCGTATGAGGTGGATTATGGAGTATAATGTACTAGAAGACTTGAAGACCAAAGGCCGGGGATATTTGGACTTCCAAGATTCACGCCTGTAAGCGTGTTGAGGATCCTAGGTTAATTCTCGGCGATTACAATGGAATCGTGGTGGTTTAAAACTTTTCCTAATTTGATGTTGTGCATAGACTTTATAATACTATCTGCAATCGGTTGTGATATATATATTGGCATCTGCATAGATATATCAATAGCTATTTTTTTAAACAAAAGAATATATTTTCGCTAAATCTTCATGCAATCGACTCAATTGCACTACTAAACAAGCACTCGTCATGCCACAATTATATCATCGTATGATTTGGCTGTACAACTGAACGATTTCTATAGATCCGTCATCTTTCGGTCATTCCACTGGGCATCTCATTCTGCTTATTTACGTTCAACACCATTTCACGCTCCACACAATCTATCTCTATATATTGATTATATTTCTACCCTCGGGCAAAATAACCTTCTTCAACATTGCCGGGGGCCGGCCACTTTCACATGTCAACCGCACGTGCATCAACTCCGCATTTCCAGTATCCCAACCTCTTCATCTCTAATTCTGCTTGAGGTTTCAGCTGCAACTGGAAAATATATCATGGAGGTAAATATTAGATTCATACCTGGACCAAAAAACATGAACCGGATATTTAACGTGGCATATATAGTCCACCACCTTGGGAAGCTTCCAGTCCCGTCGCTCATACCCATCCCTCCGCCACATCTCTCTAGCACCCTTAAACCCACGATTTCCCATTGATGACGACACAGATCCAACAGATTACTTCAACAGCCGCGACCATGAACTTCAGGCTAGCGGAACCCGCACGCCCCCAGCATCATCCTATCTATCAAGCGTCTCAGTTCCAAGCACGCCACCGATCCTCTCGCACTCGCGCAGCAACTCGCGAAGCCGCCACACGCGCAGCAAGAGCTCTACAAGGGTAGGACCCCTAAGCGACACCAACCTACACAGCAGGGACCTAGGGCATGCCCTGCACCACATCCCAAATACACACAAGAAACATACCAACATCTCGTATTCGCAAGGACGACGCCCTCACCAAGATAACACGCCGAAACCAAAACATGACGCAGAATGGATGCTCCGCACAGGAATCGCCCTAGCCTCCTCGACGCGCGAGGAAAAAGGCCAAAGCTGGCTCTCCAAGCGCGAGACATCAACAAGTCTCGTCCCAGACACGCCCTTCGACGAACCATCCACTAACCGTCGCCACCACCGCACCAAATCAGGCGCCTCGTCACGCATGTCCCGCTCCGGAGCCTCAACACCAGGAGCTGGCGCTCTCTCCCGCGCCGGTAGTAGACGCGTCAGCCGGCGTGGCAGTAGAGTCCATCTAACCATGACCACTCTCCCGACTGCATCGTCTACCTCAACGCCAGCAGAGAGGGGAGTATACATGCACTCAGGCACAGATACAGGCGCTGTGACACGCACCGCGAGTCCCGACGCGCGCGGGCGTAGTCCATTACTGCCTGACTTCGTAGACGCGCGTATCCGCGCAGAGATGGAATCGCTACAGCACCGATTCCCCGACGAAGACTCTGTGTACTGGGACCGGGCTGGCTCGGACGAAGATGAGACCTCGTCTGAGTATTCGTGTGACTCTGACGAGACGCCGGATGACTTTGATGAGGCGGATCTGCAGCGGCTGACGCGTGAGCGCGGGTTCGGGCTTGGTTCGTGGATTGATCGGTTGGTTGAGTGGACGCTTTTCGGGGTTGATGAGTGGCCTGTGGGAGTTCCGGCTGTGACGGCTGTTGCGGCGGATGCTTCGCGGATTGGTACAGCGGAAACTACTACTACTGTTACATTTGAGGAACCTGTCTTGGTGGATGGGCGGGATGATGATACGCTTTCGCTTGGATCGGCTGGGGATGAGGGTTTGTCGGATGGAGAGGGTTCTACTGGTAGTGCTGCTTCTATTGAGAAGCCTGGGAGTCAGGGTGGCTGGGAGGATGCTGGGTGGTTGTTCCGTTTGATGAAGCGGGCGATGATATGAATTATGAATTGTATTGAGCGATGTTCTTGGTCGGGGGTGGTTGTCTGTAAATATTGGTTTTGTATTTGCTTGCTTATACTAATTTATTAGCTTTGTTGCTCAGAATATCTATGAAGCTGGTTATATGTGGCCGACCCTACAAGAATAGGGAAACATCCTAGTTTTTACATCTTTCTACTTGAGGACAAAAAGCTATGACAAATTGGATAGGATTCCAATGAAACAAGCTAGCGTGACTAAAGGACCCTATCAATCAGCAACGTATCTTGGATGGCGAATGGTTCCCTTCTAATGTATAGAATAGGTTCATCTCCCCGCCAACTTTTCCAAAGCTGAGAAGCGCAAAGAGTAGGTTTGATGCCCTAAGATGGAGGTTGTCGCTCCGACACGCATCATTGGAATATGCGAGGGGTAAAATGGCACAAGCAATAGAGAGATCGAGACCAAGTCCCAAGAGTGAAACAGGCTGAGACAACTCACAACAGCAAAAGAGAAGAAGAAGAGAAACAAGAAGATAAAGAAAATGAGACATGAATGAAAGAGGGAAGTGTATGCGACACCAGGGCGCCAGTAGATATAAAAAGAGAGTCTCAGAGTTGGAATGAAATACACAGAGGAAAGGAAAGAGGAAAGGAAGGGTCATGTAAAGCTGAATACAACAAATGAGCAAAGCATGGACGAAAGAAAAAGATACTGAGTCTGAATTCATTGAAAGATTTGAAATCAAACAAGCTATAATAGCATTCATCTTGCAAAGCTCCAGCCGAAAAAAAGAAGACAAAAAAAAAAAAAAAAAAAGCTGTAGGTTATCCGCCTTGAGTACTATAACGCCTGACCATGTCGATTCTAGGGTCATGCAGCAGGTATCGTGATCGTGACATACGTCGAAGATTGCGCGGTCAAAGGGGTATGGACCGTCGGTCAAGCTCAAATGAGAGCCGGCATGTATGGGGGGACGTGAGGCCGACACGCAAGAGCGGTGTGAATTTAATGGTGGTCTTTCGTGAGGAAATCGGAGTGGCGTGGTTTATCACCATGGTCCGACCTTGACTGGGGTTCCCAGCCCGTAAGTTCCGGAGAAGAGCTGATCCCGTATGGAGCCCATGTCGTTGTTGGCTCCGTGGGATGGCGTATCGGGTCCACTCATCCATCCCAAGCTGAGGCCTAGCTCATTGACAGCTCCTTGGAGCTTTCCTCCAGAGGTCTGATTGTGCTTGGCCAGCTTTTGATCCCAACCTCCGTACTGTAACTGGATGCCGCCACCTCTTTTTGCCGCTTCCCGGATGACCAGAACCCATGCCTTGCACATCTCATCGTAGGCTGAGTCTCGTTCGATGTTGTTCTGTGGCGTGCTCCACCGAGGCAAGGCGTGAATGATGTCGGTTGCCCCGTCTAGGTAGCTCAGGGATGTGGATGCTTGAGTTTCGTTTGGGGGTAGGAAGTTGGGAGTGAAGTCACTCAGGGCGTCAAGAAGGTTGGTGAGCGGCTGTCGAACTCGGTTGTAGGCATAATCCGATTCGGTGTTGCCACCCAACGGGAATGAGGACTGGAGGGCAGCCTGATAGTTTCGAAGGACTTGAAGAGTTGAGGAGACATTCGGACGTGGGGATGTGTGCACAACCTCGTCCGCGAGTTGAGGGTGACGCTCGCACATGGTCCGTACAACCGTCCGTAAGGCATCTGTATCAAGGGTCTCTAGCAAACGGGGCAGAGATAGAGGTCGGCCTGAAACGTTCGGTCGGGAACGTTTGATATTGCGGTAGCTGTGAGGGAGTTGTCGAGGAGTGAAGGCAGGAGAGTTCGTGGGAGAAGCAGACATGCGTCCATCATGGTCGTTGTCGTCGTCGGCTTTCCGTTTACGGCTGGCATACGACGAAGAGGGTGTAGACACTGGATTTGTCAGTACATGAATGCATCAAAGAGAACCACCTCAGGACAGAGAGCACAAATTATTCCAATGTCCGGGGAAGGGATATCTTACTCATACGGGAGGGAGAGAATCGGGAGTTCTCGTAGAAGTGAGGCGGAACAGGAGGTGTAGCCACCAAGCTGTTCATGGTGACAGCCAGATGGCGAAGAAGAAAATGTAATAGTCCAGAGGACTCGGATATCCAAATGAGTGAAAAAAGAACAGCAATAAAGTAACCTGGAGGAAGAAGAGGATAAAAGGGTTATGAAGTGGGGAGAGAAGGGTAGAGAAAGGTAGCGGTGGAGAAAAAGTAGGCGTTGCAGGTGGCAACGCACTCCCTTTGCGCAGCTTTTTTGAGATCTGTGCCCTCAAAAGGAGGTTTGACATGGATTAGAAAGAAGAATTTTTTTATATATATTTTATTTCTATAGTACCCTTTATTAAAAAAATTGAATGTCTTATGTCTTTCTTTGGCTTCAATCAAATATGTCAGATTTAAACTTCTCCACTGCTTTCGGGCAAGACTATACGAATACCCGCATCATCTACTACATTCTACGTAATAAGGTAAAAAAAAGGAAAAATTGTGGGTAATCATATTCTTTGGACTCCAGCGATCATGAAAGGGATATCGTATCTACAAGTACAGGGACTGGGCTGCAACAATATCGCGGCGGACCTTGCCCAGGGCCTCCTCGAACTTGCTCTCCAGGTCCTCGCTGCCCATCACCTTGGCAGCTTGGGCCATCTGCCGCAAACACTCTTCCAACCGGCGGAAGACACGGATCAAGCTACCCTCATAGACATCGGTCATTTTGCTGGGATAGTTAGTATACTGCTAGAACAATGGGGTGGGGAGTGCTTACCAGATATCTGCAAAAGACTTGCCCTGAGTCCACTCGTAGATCACCTCCATCAGCTCCCAGTGGAAGCTCTGGACGTACTCATCCTCATTCATGGCCATCTTAGACTCCTGCGACACCTTGGCGATGATGCGGGCCTGTGCTTGAATCTCCTTGAGTGGCTTCGCCAACTCATCCTTGGCCAAAGCAGGGGCTTCCTTGACCTTTTCTTCAAACACGAAACAACTCATAACGGATGCGATTTGCTCAGCAGTCAAGTTGTTAAAGAAACCATTAAACAACAACTCACTCAGCATCAGCTCGTCACCTGTGCTAATCTCACAAGCAACACGAGCCTTCAACTGCACGACTTCGGCTTCATTGATAAATCCAAAACGACGGAGCACACGCTTGCGACACTTCAGCTCATCAAGTTGCAAGATCGACATAGCTTCTGTAATCTGCTTCTTGATCGCCTTGATCTTGGCAGTCAGATCCACTTTCTCGGCATATTGCTCGTACAATTCAGTCAACCGGGGCGAATTGTGCAACGGGTTACTCAGGAGGCGAGACTCAAGAACCTCGATTTTCTATATTATGGTTAGCAGGGTGAATCACGTGTGAGGGCAACGGAATCTATTCTTACCCGTAGCAGCTTCTTGAAGCTTTCATCTTTGATCTGCATGTTCTCAATCGGATCAAGTAGTGGGATACCATCTGGGAAACGCCTCTTGACTTCGCTAACAGACTTCATAACATCATTTCGAGAGCCGGGCGACGTGATATCCTTCGGAAGCATAATGCGAATGTGAGAGATTTCCGTGATGCAGCTCAGCACAATAGGCACAACCTCACTGCGAGAAGGTTCACCTTCCTTGGCGGGGTGAACACCTGGGGGAAGATCTTGGAAAGACTTGGTGCCAATGGATGACCCTTCCGTTGTCTTCATCAAGACATCAACAATGTGGGATTGGTGAGCAGTCACTTTCTCGGTGTCATTGCTCGCCTGCTTACGCTTCTTCTGGTTGATCACCACGCCCCAACCGAAATCAGCATCCTTGTACTTAACGTGGATCAATCGTCCGGGGTGAATAAAAGTCAAAGAGTAGTTCGGGTGCGTAATGACATGCTGAACATCTTCGGCAAATGCGTCCAGTTGTTTCCGCAGGTCGTAGTATTCACGGATAGTACCCTCGTCTGAGATAATCATATTGGCGCGCTTCTCCTCAAGACCCTCGAGCTCCTTCTCTAGGCCTGAAACACTTCCAGTGTTTTGGAACTGCTTGAAGCATCGTTCAAGCATGTATTCGGGCGAAATGCCCTCCACACGCATCAGATTGAGAATCATATTGTAGCCAAGGTGGAATGCAGAATTGAGTCGGTCCTGTTCACCGCGCACGATCTCCTTTGCGACTGCCGGGTCCATCTCTTCTCCGACCATCATGATCACAATACCTCGGTCATCGAGACCTCGACGACCAGCACGACCAGACATCTGGATGAATTCAGACGGGGTAACCCAACGCTGGCTAGTTCCATCGAACTTGCGGACACTGGTGAAAACTACAGTCTTCGCAGGCATGTTGAGACCAATGGAGAAAGTCTCGGTTGCAAACAGGACTTTGATGAGGCCTTCCTGGAACAGAATCTCAATGGTTTCCTTAAGAATTGGCAGCAAGCCGGAGTGATGGACACCGATACCTTGTTGCAAAAGCGGAAGAATATTTTGGATTTGTGGTAATTGGCGATCCTCTGGAGACAGCATTTCGATTGCACTTTCGAAAACCTTGGATACCATGTTCTTCTCAGAATCATCGTTGAAAGTCAGTTTGCTCATCTGCAAAGCACCTGCTTCACACTCTCGCTTGCTGAAGCTGAAGACAATGACGGGGTTGTAGTTCTTGAGCATGATCATCCTGACGATCTTGAAGATATCGGATGGGCCCTTATTTCCACCCTTGTTGATTTGCTTGTCCTTGCCCTTGCCCTTGCGTTTGGCCAAGGCGTCGGCCGGGTCGTCTCCTTTCTTGTCAGCAATGGCACTCATTGCTTTCTGGAAGTTCTCCTCGCGGAAGACTCCCTTTTCATCCACAACAAGATGGATACCCTCTCCACCAGCGGGGAAGAAGTAATTCTGGAGTGGGGTCGGACGATAGTTGGTGTATACAACGTGGCAGGGCTGGTTATGCATCTTGACAATCCATTCGGCGAATTGCATGGCGTTCGGGATAGTGGCGGACAGGAAAACATAGCGGACCTTATCGGGCAACAGAATGATAGTCTCTTCCCAAACAACACCACGGTTCACATCTCGCATGTAGTGAATTTCATCAAAAACTACCCACTGGACTTCACGCATAATCTCAGAGCCACGGTACAACATGGAGCGAAGAATCTCTGTGGTCATAACAAGACAGGTAGCCGTGGGGTTGATGGTCACATCACCAGTCATCAGACCGACATCACCGAACTCAGCAGCAAATTCACGATATTTCTGATTGCTGAGCGCTTTGATTGGACTTGTGTAGATCACTCGCTGGTTTTGTTTCAAACTTTGCGCAATCGCGTATTCTGCCACCACGGTCTTTCCGGCACTAGTATGAGCTGAAACCAGCACACTCTCCTCACGCTGGATTGAAGAAACTGCGACCTGCTGGAAAGGATCCAGTGTGAAGGGCCATGTCTTTGCGGGGTTCGCCGGAGGCTTGTGCTGGGAGATAGGCACATAAGGGTAGTTCGGTGGGATTGCGACTTGGTGGCGCACTTGATGAGACACAACAACTGCAGAAGTGTCTGTGGCGCCTGAAAGTCCTCCAGAAGCTGCGATTTCACGCTCTTGCTCGGTTTCGAAAGAATCGGCGACTACTGGCTCGGGTTCCTGATCCAATCGAGGTCGCTTCGTCTCAGGTTGCTCTGGTTCGGACGGAGTCGCGGGGGCTTCGGCGTCTGCTGAGTCGACTTCCGCAGCAGGTGCATCGGTCATCGCAACATCATCCTTCTGTTCGGGTTGGATATCTGCATTTTTCTTCACATCTCCATTCAGCGGTCGTTTTTTGCTCTTGTCCTTCTTCACGCGCTTGGGGGCACCCTCTGACGGTTTAACCACCTGAGGCTGGTCCTCAAAGACATCAAAGAGCTCATCCATCTCCAGCGGTTGCAATTGGTGAATCAACCACAGGAGGAGAATGAGCGGCGTAGGTGACCGGTCTGGACTTTTTTTGGTTGAGAAATTTAAAAGTTCTATCCACATGGGGCAAGCGGTGGGGGAGATCCCGAAAAGAATACGCTAAACCCGATTTTGAAGCATTACAAACCACGTGATTTAAGATCATCCCATTCCGCACCTCGCGATGTTCACTTCGGCTTCGTCCGTGTCTTTCCGATCGTCCACTCTCTCCTCTTCGTTACTCAAGGTTAGTACCTTCCACTGGGAAACAAACAATTGATCTCGCTAAAATTTCGATATCAGATGTACTCCTCCGCTATCCGGGCCAGAATGGCCACCTCCTTCGCTGCCCGTCGTGGCTTCTCCACCACTCGCACCCAGCTTGCCAGCCCCTACCACTACGCCGAGGGTCCTCGCACCAACATCCCCTTCAACCCTCTCACCAAGCACTTCTTCTGGCGCTACTGGGCTTTCATGAGTTAGTGACCCCCAATGGACATAAGCGCAGGGCCATGACTAACCAGGGCATCATCTAGTTACCGGATTCGGTACTCCCTTCGCCATTGCTGGTGAGTTATACCCCCTTCTTTATGATCCTACACCTTGAGTATACTCTAACATCTTTTTCTACCAGTCTGGCAAACCTACAAGACCAAATAAATTGCCCTTCACACTGTATTTTTCTTGCGATAACAGTATGGGCGACTAGGTGGTCGAAAACTTGGATCAGGGTTGAAGCAGAGGCGGAGATCATGTATAAAGCTAGAGATTATTATCGAAAATTGGTTCCGCCTGTTCCTGACCCCATTGTAATTGTGTAGATGTTAAAATGCGTAGCTTAAAAGGACGTTGAAATATGGATGAAGTCATTGGCTGAGCCGCTGTGGAAAACCAAAAAATCTCTGGGTCGGCGCGATTCATATATCAGTCCTCACGAACACAACCACTTCCAAGCAACAAGACAGTTACTGTCAACAGGGAACTAAGGCTGATCTCTGGGATCTAATTTTCCTTCCTATCGTTCGAATTCCATACATTTACTGCTGTGATCGCTTCATGGCGGGGTAAAAAAAGAAGCATAAAAAAAAGTTACCCGTCCTGGAAGATGCGCAATTTGAGAAACGTCCGTCTCGCTGAGACACAAATTGAGGGCGAGCTGCCTCTGACTGCTACGGCATGGGATACTGCTTCAGACTCGGTAGTGTGCACCTTTGGTCCAGCCGAGAACAATGCCATCATTGAGGTTAGACGGAAACGTCCTGAGATCACTTCAACTGATCCCCTGTCTCCCGAAGCATTCGAATGCATTGCTTCCTGGGATGCTCCGTGCCCTCTGCCAGATCTGGCATGTGATCGTGTACTTTCCCTGCATTACTTTGCGGACAATTTGACAACCTGTCTGGTGCTAGAAGGAGGTGATATTATCGTTGTTCGCGAAGAGCCCCTTCCTGGCGAAGACAAGATCGAAATCGTCGGTTCGGTCGATGTGGGAATCACAGCTGCAGCATGGTCACCGGATGAGGAAATGCTGGCTCTCACCACTAGAGCCCAGACGTTCTTATACATGACCAGAGACTTTGAGAATGTGGCCGACATTACCTTTGCCCACAGTGACCTGAAATCATCACAGCATGTATCAGTCGGATGGGGTAAGAAAGAAACACAGTTCCAAGGAAAGAGAGCTAAGGCTCTTCGAGACCCGACTGTACCGGAAAAGATCGACCAAGGAATTTTGAGCAGCAACGATGATTCCAGCACTACTATCAGCTGGCGAGGAGATGGTGCATATGTCGCTGTGAACACCGTCGAAGCAGATACTCGTCGTGTGATCAGGGTGTACTCGAGAGAGGGCACTTTAGACAGTGTGAGCGAACCCGTTGACGGTTTGGAAGGCGCTTTGAGCTGGCGGCCGTCTGGCAGCTTGATTGCTGGAATTCAACGACTCGAAGGTCGGATCGATGTGGTGTTCTTCGAAAGGAACGGACTCCGTCATGGCGAGTTCTCTCTTCGTCTGTCTGAAGAGGAGATGAAATCATGGGCTTCTCGCATCAATCTTGCCTGGAACGTCGATTCTACCGTACTTGCTGTCAAGTTCCAGGACCGTGTACAGTTCTGGACAACGGGCAACTACCACTGGTATTTGAAGCAAGAGCTTCCTATTACGGTTGATAAAGGTTCTTCGCTTCCATACTCTTTTGAGTGGCATCAGGAGAAGGCACTGCGATTGGTTGCTGGCTCCTCAGGTATGATATCCTCACATGAAGAGCGGGTCAAGAATGAAAGCTGATTTGAATAGGTTCGATACTGGACGCGGATTATGTATTCGATATCAACCATGGTTCTACGTCTATTCCGAATGATGTTGGCGCTGTTGCAGTCATCGACGGCAGTAAGTCTTCTAGTAGAACCTGATTAGGAATGTTACTGATACAAGTATTAGAAACTCTCAAATTGACTCCGTTGCGAATGGCTGGTGTACCGCCTCCCATGGCACACAACGAACTGGCTTTAGAGTCTAACGCCATCGACGTTGCTTTCAGCAAATCTGGATCACGTATTGCTGTGCTGATGAACAACAAGCTCTCCATTTACCTATGGTCTCTGAAGAGCCGACCTGTTCCTATTCCTATCATTGAGTCAAGCTATCCCTTATCAGATGACCCTGCCAGCCGGCCCCGTCAGATTGCGTTCTTGGATGAGAATGAAGTCTATGTGCTTAAGGACAACGGACCAAACTCGAGCCATATTGAGAGGACGGTTCTGGACACTCGAACCACCGAATCTGTGTATAAGGCTGGAGACGAAGAGCAACTGGCATCGATCTTCGCTGGTATTGGACACCACGCGCTGTGGTTCTCACATGCCCGCCATCCAGCTCGTCCTGTCAGCTACTCGAGTATTGAAGAGTCGTCACCGGGAAATCTCGATATTACTCCATGGGGTGAGAGCCCCAATGTTGACAGTCACTGGGCTCGGGTTGTCTCTATCTCCGAAGATGAGGTAAGATTATATTCACTTTGTATTTGGAGCTTTCTGCTGACTTTGGTAGCGCATTTTGATTGCAATGACGAGAACTGGCGCTTTGTATGCTAACAAGCGAGTCCTTGCGCGAAACTGCACGTCTTTCCTCGTGACCCCGTCCCATCTTTTGTACACCACATCGGCACATCTTCTGAAGTTTGTTCATCTGAACCATGTGGATGGTAAGATTATTCTTGGGTGTTTATGCCTTCATAAGCTAACATGAAAACTGCAGAGATGGAAGTTCCTGAGGACACACCGGAAACCGATGAACGATGCAGAAGCATTGAACGTGGCTCTAAGTTGGTTTCAGTGATACCGTCGATCTTCGCGGTCGTTCTCCAAGCTCCCCGGGGAAACATCGAGACAATCTTCCCTCGTGCTCTGGTATTGGCTGGAATCCGTACCTTCATCGACCAGAAGAAATACCGGTCTGCATTCCTTGCCTGTCGCAGTCAGATGGTGGATCTCAACATTCTCCATGATTATGCTCCTGAGCAATTTATGGAAAACATCGCTCTGTTTATTGACCAAGTCAAGAAGATTGATTACATTGATGATTTCATATCGCGTCTGTCGTACGTCAATACCCAGTCTCTTTTTTTTCTTTTCTAAAAAAAAAGAACCATTTACTGACACTCACATAGCGAGGACGATGTGTCACAGACACTGTATAAAGACACACTGAAAATATCCAAGAACGTATCGGCAGCTGCTGCCCAGCTGGACGGTCCAGCAGTTCCTTCGGTGCCAAAGATTGGCAAAAAGGAAAGCAAAATCAACAAGATCTGTGATGCATTCCTAGCAGCTCTTCAGAACCGTGTCGATACAAATTTGCGGAATATGATCACAGCCCATGTTTGCAAGTCGCCGCCTGACATGGAGGCAGGACTGGGACTTGCTGCAGGACTAAGAAGTGAGCGCTCGGCTCTTTCGTCTTTTTTGTCTTTTTCGATAATTGGGTAGCTAACCGCATTACAGCACAACATCCCGAACAGGCTGAGGACGCTATTGCACACATGTGTTTCTTGACCGATGCTCACCGGCTTTACTCTCACGCGTTGGGTGTATATGATCTCGAGCTTACGTTGTTGGTTGCCCAGCAAGCTCAGATGGTAAGACTTCCGGATGGAGACTTTGGTTGTGCTATAACTTATCACTAACAAATTCTCAGGATCCTCGCGAGTACCTACCATTCCTTCGTAAGCTTCAACAGCTCCCAGAGACTCGGCGTCAATTTGAGATCGACAATCACCTTTCTCGCTTCGAAAAGGCTCTGGGACATTTGTATGCTCTCAATGCCCACGATGAGATTAGCGCATATGTGGTCAAGCATGTGTTGTATAAGGAAGCCCTTGAGCTTTACAAGTACCAAACAGAGCAACAACGGCATATCACCGAGCTCTATGCCGATTATCTACAGGATCAATCGAAATACAAGGACGCAGCAATTGGTAAGTGGTTTGATTATAACACAGCAAGACAGAATGACAGCTAGCTAACTTTCAACGCCAGCGTACGAGTCTCTTGAGCTTTACGAGAGTGCTTACAAGTGCTTCAATCTCGCGCACAAATGGCGCGAGTCATTGTACTGTGCCATGATGGCATCTCTATCTGAGGAAGATCTGGCTGCCCACATCGACGCTCTAGTCACAACCCTGGTTGACGAAAACAAAGACTACGTCTCGGCAGCAACCATCTACGCCGACCATTTGCATGACATCGTGACAGCCGCACGACTTCTCTGCCGGGGATCCAAGTTCGCCGACGCAGCGCGTCTCCTTACACTCCACGGAAAACAGAATCAGGTCGCCGAAATTGTTGATTCTGGCCTCGCTGAAGCAATGGGCAACATGACGGACCTTCTTGCCGACTGCAGATCTCAGCTCAATGCCCAGGTCCCACGACTCAACGAACTCCGTCAGCTTCGCGCTGCCGACCCACTTGCTTTCTACGGTGGTGACCCCACCGGTGGAGACGCGGGCGTCGATATCCCAGACAACGTTTCTCTGGCCCCGACAGATGCATCTACGCTTGCTGGTCGCTCAATGTTCACCCGTTACACGGGTAACACCGGGAAAACAGGCAAGACTGGAATGACACGTCATACTTCGAAGACTCGCCGGCGTGAGGAACGCAAGCGTGCTCGTGGTAAGAAGGGCACCGTTTACGAAGAGGAATATCTCGTCAACAGTATCCGACGACTCATTGAACGGGTTAACTCGAGCGTGTCGGAGGCTGAGACTCTTATCGATGCTCTGCTGCGTCGTGGCATGCGTGAGCGTGCAGCTGCTATCGAGAAGGCATTGCAGGAAGTCTTGACTATGTGTGCAGATTGCCGGGACGAGGTATTCGAAGTCCCTCCCCCCAATGCAAAGAACGCAAATGAAGACCAGGAAGACGAGGAGAATGATGTTGAGCCTACCATCCCTCCTATTTACGGAGGCAGAGGCGCCGGCGTCTTGAGAGAAAGTATAGCCATTGTTGAGGGTGGTGGTGCCGCTCGTGTTAAGGAGATCCCTATTGTCAAGGAGATGAAGAAGTCTTCTTTGCTGGCTTGAGGCAGCAATTAGCATCTAGATTACGAAATGAAAAACAAAAAGTTGCTTCAGTTCCAATAACTCCACCTACGAGTATGTAGCTTGAGAAAGTGACCTTGAACCTATAGTCCTCGTCTGTATATCTTGGGCTTTAGCCGTGAGCGGGGAAGGTCTGCAGTTCAAAGTCTGTCTTGGGATTGATTCCAAATAGCATCCGGCTTCTTCAGGCACCTTTATGAAGTCAAGAAAACAAGGCATATTCGGTTTCTGGCACTAGGGACCTTCGTGAGTTTCTACTATGATCCACAGGTTACACTTGTATGACTCCGTAGCAGCTTTCTACGAGAGAAAATGGAATATCCTCCGCAATAGCCTGGTCTCAAGCTCAAGCGTTGTGTTTGCACAGTCGCGGGAGAGGTTCGGTCTCACAGTTGATTGTTTACATCCTTGGACGGCAAATTGAGCGTGGTGTTCTTGAAGCTATATGGTCATTATACTATCATTGTTTTGCTTCTTTAATTGAGGGAGCTTAGAGTCTAAGAAGTGGTTTGTCTGTACACTTGAAGATGTTAACAGGTGAACTATATCTCTTTGTATGAAGATATGTCAATTTCGAGTTCGAAGGTATATGTATACATGTCCCCAGAACGAACACTCAAAGGGTTAACTGCAAGTCTACGTTGCACGAGTGAATATGATCATTCATATAGTGAGAATCATAAGTGATGCGACTCCAAAGTGAGGGGAATATCCTGAACTGATCAAGACATATCCTACATCTGTCGAGATGAAGTAGTACAATAGACACAGTTTCCTCTCTAGATGACACAAAACTGACACATATGCTGTGCCACCCTGATGGCCAATTGTCAAGCCAACTGAACATTGTGTACAAAGTATCTAGGATAGGAATATAAAAATGACCAAATCCCACATTGGAATACTAGGACTGCAACCAAGCAGGGTACCAAAAGAGAGCCCTAAGCAAGGCCGTCCCGTTGCAAGAACCGTGAGTGAACTTGTCAGATTATCTATTAGGTGGATCCAATCTCTTAATGTCTTGATTCAGACTATGCACCTCTCTATCTCAACATATTTCAATCTCCTGTTGGGCCTGGGCACGCTAGCAATAGCCCAAGTGGGATCCAGGTCTATCAAATGCGTCTGTGATGGTATCCCCGATAATTCCAAAACTGCCTGTGTTCAGACTGGTGGAAGCTTCAATGCTACCGGCTGTGAATTTGCAGGTTGCTGTGTTTATGCCAACAATGAACAAACCAGGTTCATTGAGAATTGTAAGACGCTAGGATATGGATTTAGGCGCTGTGATGATTGTCGCTCTTGTTGAAAGGACAGAGGTATTAGCCTGGTGGGAAGTATAGTAAGACAGATATTGGACCTTTAAAGTTGGAAGCGAATATTCCATTGATTTCCAAGGTTGCGTGTATTGTGTTGTGCCTCATCAAGTGCAAGATATATTGATATTATTATTATGAATGGGACCAGATGTATTGCTTTATTATAACCCGAGACCCCGCTGCTGCCATGGTATTATTATGTTCTAGATTATCGGGGAGAAAAAGAAGATACAGCGAAAGGAATATCTGCATCAAGCCTGCATGGCCAAGTTGGATTGTCCGCAGAAGAACGGTGGGGTATCTTTCAGGCTGAGAGGCCTTCCAAAGTTGGCCAAAATGGGAATACCAGGTTTCCGGTATAGCTTATTCAAACTTTCTAAAGAGTGCTGAGGATCTCACCAGTCTCACTGACAAGGTGATCCTCAACCTTGACGGGGCCTTCTCCGACGCCAGTCAAGATGACGCGGCTCACACCCTCCTTCAAAACTTCGACGGCGCGAGAGTCAACCTGATCCAAGGAAACACCAGCAGTGACATTGGCCACTCTCTCGTAGAATGCGCCGTCCCAGCCCTCGGTGTTGGAGCCCAGAATAGCCTTGACGGTGCCAGCCACAACCTCAGAGTCCTTATCTTCGTAGTAGATGACAGCATTTGGGCCAGCGTCAAAAGTGTAGGCACAAACCGTGCGGCCAACAACGCGGTTGATGTCGTGCACAAGGCGGACAGCAGCACGAGAGACATCATTCATGTAAAAGATAGGGGGCCACGAGTCGAGGCAAGTGGCGTGGAAGGTGTTTGAGTCACGCATGGTAATCTCCGCGAAGTCGTGGAAGTTGCGGTTTTGAATAGCGGTCTCAATGGCAGCCATACGCCCGGGAACAACGTTCTGGGCACGCTCAGCGAAGAGAGCGGAGGTGGCCACAGTAGTCTGCATCCCTTCGGTGCTAGGAACATCCTTCTTCTCGGCACTGACAACCAGAACAATAGCACGCATCTCAGGCCAGTGGGATGCAGGGGCAACCTCCTCGGCCAGGCTGTCGCTTCCATCAGCAAGCTCGCCAGTGCGCCATGCGACGTATCCGCCCATCAGGGAGCGACAGGCGGATCCAGAGCCTTGGCGCGCAATGCGGCTCAGCTCCTTAGGGGACTGGGGAAGTTCGTAAAGGTCGGCGACAGCGCGGACCAACGCTGCGAAGCCAGCTGCAGAGCTGGCCAGACCGGCAGCAGTGGGGAAGTTGTTCTCGGAGACGATCCGGAGAGGGTGGGTGGAGAGCTTGGGGAGCGAGGAGTCGGCATCCTCAAGGGCCTTGCGGAGTGCACGAAGGTTGGAGAGACAAGCGAGTGTGCGCTTGGAAGACTGAATGTCCTGGGGACTGCCGTTCAGGTTCAGGGTATCCGCAGGTGGGTATTCGGCAGAGCAAGAAGCAGTGGTCAAGGTACGGAGAGAGCGCTGAGAGAGTGTGACTGAGAGGGAGGAGTTTGTTGGGAGATTGAGAGTAGTATCACGCTTGCCCCAGTATCTATGATAATTTTGTTAGAACAAAACTATTTGGTATAAAACGGACGAGGGGCAATCAGAGAGCGGCATACTTAATAACAGCAATGTTCACCGGAGCGGTGGTAGTGGCCCGGTAAACAGACTGGTTCGATGTGGACGCCATTTTTGCTTCAGGTGAATAAAAGAAAGATCAATAAAATTTCAAAGAAGCATAAGAGACATGAGGGGGATTTACTACTTAGGGGGGATTGTTGATTTGTCCGGGCGGTGAGGCGGCAAAATAATTTCTACGGCGTAGTTCTAGTTCCGCGTTGCGATCGACACCCTCCAGTCATTGACCTCCAATTATTCAACAATGGGAGCTGCAGCTAGTACGCCGTCTGCGCCCTCTGCGGAACCACCGGCAGCAACTTGTCCTGTGGACCACAAAACCAGGGAGGTTTGGCTGCAACAAAATAGCAACTCACCTCATCATACCTCCGATGTCCCTGCCGAACAGGGCCAATCACGTACCAAAGCACAACGACCCCTATCAACAGACCGTGAAGTAAGCTCTATCCCTCGAGCTGGTGATTTCAGCTCAGCCGGTGCGTGCCCCGAGGCCAACAAAGGTTCTTCATCCCCATACGCCGTGTCGCATGGAAGCCCATCCAATGCCGAATCCGAGACTGGCCGGGATGAAGCTACTGGAAATTGGATCTATCCGTCGGAAAAACAGTTTTTCGAGGCTTTGATGCGCAAGGGTAACACCCCTGGATCTACTGCCTCAGCCTCAGAGCTCGCAACTTCCGTAGCCTCCATTATCCCCATTCATAACGCCGTCAATGAACGCGCATGGGACCAAATCCTCGAATGGGAGAAAAAGGGCCCGTCCGCCGACCCCGGGAGCAAGAAATGCGGAGGACCAAAACTACATTCTTTCCGGGGACTTGGAGTCGACCCACAGTACCTGAGTCCGCGTGCGCGAATCAATGGATGGCTTGGTTACCAGCATCCATTTGATAGACATGACTGGGTTGTTGAGCGCTGTGGTGGTGAAAAGGTTGAATATGTTATCGATTTTTATCAGGGCAAGCCATCGGGGGGCAATGAAACCCCATCGGGCTTGGCTGCCAATGCCAATGCCGCCCCCGGGAAGCTCAGCTTTTTCCTCGATGTTCGGCCCAAATTGAATACTTATGAAGGCTGGAGGTTGAGGTTCAACCGCTTCACAGGTCTATAAAGGCAGGCATCATTGATGGTCGCCTTCTGGCGGGATATGCTTTCGCACTGCACATACAAAGGCGACAACGGAGCATGGGCAGGATTTGGGACCCAATTGGGTGTATTTTGCATGTACAACACATATAATTCTGTACGATATCAGGCTACAGGATTAAGAGACAGCGATGAATTAATGTTCTCCATTCCATACAAATCGAAGGTTGGTAAGGAATGTGTAAATCAGAAGGAAGAAAATGAGATGAAGCAAAAAGGTGAGATGCTTGACTAACGGAAGTGCAATCATGCAAGAGGGATATCGTGCGCATACATGACAACATTAAAGACGAAGACCGTGACGGTAGCCAATAAAAAAGAACGAGCAAAAGAAGAGAAATATCTACCCGAGGACAATTGCAAGCACAATAATAGCAAGGATAACAGCAAGAATTACAAAGAGACAGCAGGCTCTGTTGCGCGCATTCTTCTGATATCTGCTGGCACTGCGCAATTCGACATTGGCGCCTCGTGTGTCCTGGGTGACATTTTGGACATTTTCGCTGATGATGTCCAACTGCCCTCCTTGTTCCGTAACAATATGCGCAACATCCCGGAAGAGCTCGTTCAGCTCTCCTACGCTTTGTTCAATGTTCCGGATCTCTGTTTCACGCTCGATGATCAGGGACTCTTGGAAGTCCACCTCTCCCTGGTTGGCCATCCGGTGTTGCTCTTCCAATAGCTGTTCTTGTAATTGGACATCGTTCTCACCGGATGGTTGCTCGCCTTCTTCAAATGCTGTACGTGCAGCAACTGCAGAAGCGCGCTGTTTCTCGAGTGCACGGCGCTGGATAGTTTGGAATTCATCCAAGGTGGCCTTGAATTCAGACGATAGCTTCTGCTGTGTCCATTTCTGGGAGGGCTATAAGTTGGGATGTTAATAAGAAATTCTCAGCGGTGAATGGAATCCGATATATCATACATTGACGTCCTCCCATGTCTGGATCTGCTTAATCCCTTCTCCTACATCCCTAAACCCCGTACGGGTCTCTTCGAGCAAATTATGAACTCGTTCGCGCACACGTTCTGTATCGCGTTTGGTTCCAAGAAGGGCAAGTTGGTTGGATAGGCGAGAGATGTTTGATGTCAACGTAAATAACTGATCTGAGAGCTGCTCGGCCAGATGGTCAAAGTCCGGATCATCGCGGTACTGCGCGTCTTCATCCCTGCGCATGGTGGTAGGCTGAGCCTCCAGCGAGTTTAGTCTGTCAAAAGACATTTTATGTGTAATGTAAAAGCAATAAATGAGTGCTTGAAGTGAAAGTAGAAGAAAACTGGATACCAAATGAGTTATCTGCAGGTCCCTGGTGCCTTCGATAAGCCGTATTGGTGTTCAGACCGCCCTCACATGACGTACTATGTATCCACTAGTCTATATATGGACTAGTCTTATGTGGCACAATGCACACCTGTGCCACATATCACATGACTAGTTGTGGCTGGTGTGTTTTGATGCCTCAAAATATTCCTAGGCGGACCTCGTCGTTGATCGATTCTATCCGACCAGCTCAACACAACCAGCTGTCAGCCGTGACCATTCGCCAAAACCGTCCCTGGTCCGCCAATTCCGCTCTCCAGCTCCCGGAGCTCTCCATACGACCGTTATTCTGATCATGCTCTAATCCTCAACTATTTCATTCTCTACCACGAGCGCATCCCACTCCCAAGCTTTCACTATGGCCGTCGTACAAACTCGACCCTACAGGCGAATCCTGACTTCGGCCTTACACCGAAGATTTGTTCATGCGTCTGCACTTTCACTGCTGGTCTCTTATATTATCGCAATCGCGATCGGGGAGAAATCATCCTGTAAGTACATCGCAACCTTATCGGGCCGAGCCTCGAAGGCTCAATTTCAAGTCCTGGAAGTACAAAGAACTGATAAAAGTACACATGCAGTGTTCTGGTTATGGTTCCCATTTGGTAGTTGTGGTGTTCGAACCGCGCTACTCTTCATATCCTCTCTCACCATTTTCGTCCTCCGCGTCAGTCAAATGCACATCGGCTCGAGAACAGCTAGCTCCTCATTCGGAATTTTCAGATCTTTCACCCTGTTACAAATTGCGCAAACCTTTGGCTGGTACATCTTCTCGGCATGGTGGTTCACCGTGGTTTATGTATGGTCGTCTTCGAGCGATTCCAACCTCGAGCTTGTGAAACGGGGCAGGTGCGTTAAGTATGCTTTAAATGATTCTGATCTGGACTAATGAGATATAGGCCACACGAGCGACCGACCCTGAACGAAAGGCCGATTTACCTTCATTCCTTCCATATATTCTTAGCATGTGTGCAAGCAGTGTTCCACCTCTACTACGACTACGACCGCATTGCAGTGCCCATCGCGGAGAAAAAATCAAAAACAGATGATGAGCGTACTCACCCCGTACCTCCAACCTCAAAGTATCTTCAAGGTGCTCTGGTGCCAGAATTGGCGGCCGGGGCTCTCAGAAGCGTCACTGTTGCTGGAGCGTCTCTCGTGATATACCCCATATTTTTCAGAAGCTTTGTGTGGAGCTGGTCTTTGTACTTGGCCAAGCTCTCTTGGAGCTTCCCGAGATCTGCAGCCGAACCTCAGAGCTTCATTCCCTCGATTTTCCCCTACTTCTTCTTCAAAACTTTGCTCCCCGGAGTGATGCTTGTCCTCTCCTGGCAAACCGCCAACCTCTTTTATTCTGTGTTCATCGGCAAGGAGCCTTTGAAGCGGGGTCAGCCACTCACAACAGAAGCCAAGGATCCCAACGGCAGTCTTATTAGTGGCCTTAAGGCGAAGAAGGAGCTTGTGAAGGTTTTTGCACTCTGGGAACTCAGTCTCATCAGCCAGCGCGTGCCCGACCGCCGGAAGGCAATCTTCAATGAAATTGATCGCGAGGGTGGTTCAGCTTGGTCCCAGGTGCTTGCTTGCACTACCGATGTAATCCAGGCCATCAATACTCGCATCGAGGAAAGCAAAAATCCTGCGCCTGTTACCAAACCTTTACCGCAGGCGGAGAAATCCGAACCTGTTCTTCAGACTCTCCCGCGACTCTCAGAACCGATCAAAGATGACAACATCTTTACTACCGCCCCCAAAGCTACTTCACGCCAGGACAAATTTGGCGATGCGTTCAGCTCGGCGGCTAAATCCATTGGTCAGTCAGAAGACTGGACTCCAACTGCGCGAGCCCGAGTCCGTGATGTTTTCGACCGGGCATCATCCGCAATGCTTAGCCCTGAGCAGAAGCAGAAATATCTCGGCTCTCCTCAGAAGTTCAAACTGCTTACCGGCGGCCCATCCACAACCCATAAGCCCGAGGACATGAACCCAGTCCTGGCGCAGATTCTTCGCTCGCCTATCGGCCAACCCTTCCGTCAAACATACGCCCAGCGCCTCTCTGCTATTGTTCTTGGCACACCAGAGTCCTCTCTATCCTTGATTGTAGATGCCGTGGAGTCGTTGACTCGACTCCTCATTGCCAGTTTGGCCGAAGATCCGTATGGCAAAGTTCAAGCCGATGTGCCCTCGGCCGTGCGACTTCTGACACAAACCACTCTCACTCTGGATGCATTTGCCCACCAGGGTGGATTGGATGCCCACTGGACTGATATCAACTTCCCGCCTTCGAGTGATCCTCAGGCCCAAGCAGTTGCCCGTCTAGTTCCAGATGTTGAAATCGTGCTTGCTGCACTCCGTGGAGGCCTCAAGGATCTATTGACAGCCTTCAGGCCTTATTTGCGGGATATCGGTATCGCAGGTAAGGACCTGAGGGTAGCAAAGGAGGCAGCTGGCATCGACGGGGAGGAGGTGTTATGATCTATGATGGTCTTTCTTTTTGCTGCAATTTTTTTAATGCTCACTATATCTCATGATTTCTCTTCACAAAACTTCATGTATTGCTATCTCTCGTCCTATTCTCTAATCCTACCGGGATTGATATCAGGGGACAAATGCATGGTTAGGCGTT